CACTAAACAGCATTTTTAGGCAACAGACAGTTAAAGAAATCTTACAAAAGGGTAATCAATCACCACATAGCAGGCCTTCACAACACTTCCATGGGGTTTACTCATAATGTATCAATGACTTTATTGCCAAATGCCTTCAGTTAGGGTCATATTGTACCAGGCACGCCTAGATTGAAATCCCCAAACCCCCACTATGCCCAAATTCTCACTGGTTTTCATATTACCTTTATTCTCTTCTAAGCTGCAGTGAGCTAACACGGTCAGCCCTGCTCATAAGTTTTAATGCTCTCAGGACATGTTCTCAATCTAAAAGGCTTCCTTTGGTCAAGGGCTTTGTCTACAAATTAAAATGAAAACACTCCTGGGGAAGAATACTACATTTAAGGTTTTATCAGTTATTTACACATTAGTGAAGATGTGTTTATAAGATGCCTTTAAGAGAACAGACTGATAGTGAGAAGGAGCAACCTGGGTACCTGAAGTGATGAGGTGCTGGAAGGCGGGGGTGGGGAAAATGTACATAGAAGCAAGAGTTGAGGTTGTCTTGCTAAACACAGAAAGGTATAAATAGCCAGCTGAAGAGTCCAGCTCCTGGTTCTTAACAAAAGTGAAATAATACACACATTATAGTCGTCGTCATCATCATCATCATCATCATCATCATCATCATCATCATCAAGCACTTAAATAAAAGCGCTCCTCCCAGCACGGTCAGGTAACATGCAAACAAAACAGGGTGATCAGATCAGTTAATTGCGAGTGCCTCCTTTTGTCACTGACCCTTGAGCTTCTAAATGGAATCTGGGTGTCTCAGTGAAGAGCTTGTCGGAGGCAGTGTGGGACTGAGCACAGCCTCAGGACCCAAAGGCCTAGATCCCAGCTCTGCATCCCACCAGCCTGGGCACTCTGTGGCCACTCAGCTGCTTTCCTCACCTATCAAACACAGACACTGCATAAATGCACACAAAAGGTATGAGCACATTTGTATTCCATGTCGCACAAAGTCGCTATGAGGAAAATACTTTGTACGCTGACAAGCACTAAAGAAATGAGTCGTTTCTAGATACCCAGAAGAATGCTAAAAGAAAACCATGTGCATCCACATATCCACTTATTAGCCACATCAATGAGCTTCTTCCCAGTTTAGAATGCAGATGCTATTGATACTGCCCTTCTGTGACTAAAAATGGGCAAGACCTTCAATGTGCCAATGGGCCTTATTAGATTTTAAGACATAAAAAATTTTGGATGGGCACTTGCAATAAAAGACAAATCAGATCTGGCAATAGCTTTCTTTGCAAAAGCTAGATGAGAAAACACAGTGTACAAGGATAACAAGATAAGCAGCAGATTCTGCACGCCCCTCCCCCACCATTCTTCCACAGAAAAGGAACAGAAACAAAAAAGCAATAACAAAAATCAGTCATTCAACCCCCCACTCCCCGCACCCTCAAGCCCAAGAAAAGAAGGCTATATGAAAATAAAAGTCTGGGTACATTTCAAGTGAAAAAACACAACAGGCCAACTTATAGAACGAAATTACAGACTCGCAGAGAGATGGGGATAAACTAACAACTATGTATCTTTCCGGCTTTCATAAGATGTAGGTGAAAAGAGATATCACAAGGGCGTGCAAGGAGGCACTGCTTCAGCCAGCACTGTCTGAACTTGAGCAAGTGCCCTTACCTCTATGAGTCTCAGTCTGTTCCTCTGAACAAGGGGAATAATAATTGTTATTTTCTCACCTTTATGGGATTGTGCTTTCTACTTTCCAGAGCATTATGTATGAGTTATTATTCAACATCCTTTGCCTTCATCAACAATTCCTTCCCCTAACTTCACTCTCTTTTTTACATCACCCTTAGCTATAGCTATGCTTTTTTTCCTCTGTCTCCCACTTGGACTGTACCCAAGAAATATGGCCTTGCGGCATTCACTAGTTTTCTCCATAAAACCTCAGTCATTTTCAGGCTCCACTACCATATACATGGAATGCAGCTTGGACTTTGGTCACTTCTGGGAAGAGGATGATGCAATTAAATCAAATTGGTCCTTAATGACTGATAGTAATTATACTCTTACAAACATTTTCTAAATAATAATGTTATTAGATTATCCCCAATATAGGTGAATGCAAAAGCAAAAAAAGCTTTGAGATAAATGCCTGATGCAAAATTAGCCATTAAGTAATAGAAAATTTGGCCTTTCAGCTGCACTCACCAGACAGGGCTCCGCAGGTCAAAGAGGTGTTCTCAAGCCTGAACAGAGCTGTAAATGTTAAAGTACTTGAGCAAACATTAGACATTAGACCAAAAGCTCCATGTAGAGATGCCTTTGAGGACCAGTTATATTTCAGTACAACAAGAAGTTACCCACTCAGTAGTCCTCTAGGAGGTTCCACTCTCCCACTAGCATGGAAACAGTCCAACACTTAGTTTCTTTGCCTGTACTTTAAGACAACCCATTCCAAAAGACAATGAGCAGAAACAACAGGAAGGGCTAACAGGGAAATCTAAAATCAGTACTAAATCAAGCTTTGTAGACACCCACCCCTTATGGACTGAATGGAAACAGCATCTTGATACCACAGAGGTATATTCAGAAGAAATTATTAGTCTTTTGCTATTAAAAAGTTCCATTATAGGAAACATGGAAAGGTTAACTTCCTTGATGACCACCCAAAGTACTAAGTTACAGAAACACGATGTCAAACATTGTAGTTCTCTCCCTACATAACTTTTATATTTCTTAGTCACAGTCCCAAGGCATACACTTTCAGCTAGTTAATATGCCACATGCAACACTAGATTTGAATAATCACCTGGATAATGCAAGTGGAAGATGAAAGGTTCACCTTGGGTAGAATCCGAAGTCTGCTCAGAGATGAATTCATATGATTTCCATTAATGCCACTTAACAGCACCAGGCTCTGATCTCACACCCACTCCCCCACTCCCACACTTCTTAGTGATTAGAATGCCAGTGGTTGGATGGCTGATAACCATCAATCTGTGATGTGTTCATTTCAAACAAGAGAAAAACGTACCATGTCAAAAAATATTTCTCTTTGTAAATGATGAACTTACTGCATGGATTTTTGTTACAAAGATCTCAACTTTTAAAATGCTAGATAAAACTAAGGAAAATTTATTTCAGATTTAATACATAATTTGAAGAAATCTGATCTTAAAACCGAAAGGATGTCTCTGTCTTAGGGCTAAGCACACAGAAATGACTATGCCAGAGGTAAGTCAGTAAAACTCTTATTAACTAAGTACATTGAAAGAAAAAGAAATGGGTTTAGTCATATAGACAGTCTAACTAACATATTGACTGGTTAATGATAATGTGAGTTCAAGCAGCATAATGTAACATAAAAAATAAGAGACCTGTATCAGTCTGGGCTCTAATACTTACTGAGTATATTGTTATCTTCCTGAAGCTCAGTTTACCTAGCTTTAAATGGGAATAACTTTCATTTTTACCTATTCCAAAGAGTTTGTTGTGAGCAAAGTGCTTTGTAAATGAATGGGAGCTATTAGTATTATTGAGCTTTCCCTGCCTCTTTTCAGTGAAACCAACTCGGCAGAGATTATTGCTTCCTATTTCCTTATTGATCAATAGAAACAGGACTCAGATGTACAATAATATTTATTCATGATAAGTTTATGTTACAGAGCGAATAATCTGAGAAAAAAATATCAAAGAAAATGTTCATGAAAGAGATGTTTTCAGTAAAAAGTTCTTCAATCAATTATCTTTAGGTTCATGCAGCCCCATGACTCAACTAAACCTCTAGATTAAGTGGTCTCAGTCACCAATGCTTCATGGGCACAGAAAGCTTTATTGGAGAGCACCCTCCCAAAATAAGCTACAAATCAAGAAGCCAATCATAGTAGAGTACTCTTGACCAAGAAACCAAGACATTACCCTGAATTGTTATCATAGATAATGTCCACACATCCTTGCACTGTACAGAGTGATGTTCCCCACTAATGGAAAACTCTCCCGGACAGGTTCATTACAATTTAAGAAAGGAAAATTTCTTCTAGAACATTTTTCTAGAGAATCTCAAACATAACACAGTACCGAGTGTGAAAGCTGGAAAATGAATTATTTCCTTTCCTTCCATCCACTGCCCATTCACCTTTGAAATTTACCTTTTGTACAAGAACCAGCCTAAAATTGCAAAGGTTCATCACCAGAAATTTGGTTAGCAGGTGATGAATTCTGCTGGCCACACAAACTCATGACGACCATCTATTAAGGCACAGAGAGACTGAGATCTGCATCAGGATTGGAAGCTCACCTACACTGATGAAACTAGCAATTTGAAATGGCATTACTTTTATAGAAAAGAATTACAAAGGGGAATGGACACTGGAACCAAAGTAAGAAAGTGTAGATTCCAGTTTTGGTTCTTTGCTCATTAATTATAACTATAGGAAAATCATTTAACCTCTAAGGACCTTGGTTTCCCCATTTGTAAAGGGTGGGGAAATTAATACTGTATGTAACACTAATGTGAGTTATTACTGTTACTTAAAACCATTAATCTGGAAGGCTTTCTCTATCTGAACACAGGCAGCTAATATCATCTGACTGTGATCATGAAACAGGATATGAAGGAATGACACTCAGAAATATAGTACTCTTGACCTTTTAATACACTAGCATAAGATATGTAGTTGAGGAGACATCATCAGTGAGCAGCTAAACAGCACAATGAAATATTGAAAAGGGATGGATTTCTGGTCATTTATAAAAATGGGTTGGTCAGAATAGAAAAGCCATACTTCCCCTTCCCCCCTAGCTCCACAAATCATATCCGGTTTAACCACAATCAATAATTAGTATTACTGGGGGAGGGGAGATATAGATCCCCCTAATAGGTTTAGTTTTGAGGGTGCAACCTTTATTAAGAGAGTAATCTCGGTGGGGGAGGAGGGGACTAAACCTTAATTAGAATGCAGAATAACTTTGAAATGTTTTTTAAGCAGCAAAGTGCTTAAAGCCTTCAAGGTCTTCAGTTCTCCAATGAGTTGGGATTTCATTGACATGGGTACACCTTCCAGCCATGCCAATCACAAGCCATCCAGCCCTACTCATCCTGTGGGACATCTTTTCTACAGAGGATCTGCCCTGTGTCGTGTGACCTTTGCATTCTCTTCACATTTCAAGGATAACAATGGAGCAACACATGGGTTGTCCACCTGCGTTCTCACTCTTGCATGTGACCAGCAAATTTTCTATTTTGAACAGTATTTGTATACTTCGACAACATCCTTTATGCCACTTTTTCCAAACATAATTACAATATATTTGCAATATGATGCAGCCTGCTCATGTACATGTGTGCCTATCCATTACCCACTGGTAATGCTCAACTTCTTCAGACACCATGGTGTTCCATGACTCAACCACCACCAGAAGAACATTGATTTTCAAAAACACTTTGCTAAGATCTTTTAATGACCCCAAGTTTCTCCCTGAAACAATTTCCCAAAGGCTATCCAGCCTGCTCCCTTCCTTTCAAATTCTGATCACAACTACTCACTGTCTGAAGTCCAAGAATTTATATGTGTGTGTGTGTGTGTGTGTGTGTATATATATGCATATATACATGTATTATGACATATACTTGTGTGTGCTTGATATATCTATCAATATATACATACTCTCACACACACATAGAGAGAAGCTATTTAGATTATGTATCCAATTGCATGTTATAGTCTGGATAATATGCATTCTTCATTTACTTTGTTTTCCCTGTACAAGATAGTCAGCGTTGAATTTCTTAAAGTAGCTGATTGTGGACTTCATTTAGGAAGTTCTGCAATATTTGATGGCTTGATACCATGCCACACAAGCAGGAACAGCTGGAGGACTTCACCACCCACTGGGAATCCTTCTTCAACTTGGATTCTGTGATGGATCTTCTTCATGACAATGGTGAACACATCTGGTGAGTACATAGTTCCCTGTATTATGCTTTGATTGACATTAATGATCAAAAGATTCAATCAAGTTCTGTTGTTCTTTCTTTCAAAGAATCTTGTATAATATTAACATGTGCATGAAAGGCACCTTGTTGAGGAAAAAAAAGCTATTCAGACAGCATTTTTGTCTACCAAATTAAATGCTTTTTATAGTCAACAAAAAATAAGCACAGTCAGATCTTGTATTCTCTACGTCTTTTAGGCAATTGTTATGGTAAAGATGTAATCTACTATGGAAAATAACTTTCAAAAGTCTATCTGTTCTCTTTTAATATCATTTTCAAGAACGCTCTCAATGCAGGTGTATTCTGACAATTGTCACACTAGAAATAAAATCATTTGGGGGCCCAAAGTCACTAAAAGAGTAGTTAGAAGGATATTGTAAAAGCCCAAGGATACTTCCTCAAAAAGGATGGCAAAACATGCCCCTTTCTTACTAACACAACCATGCTACAAGGAATTTTTCGAACTCTCATGTCTAGAATTGCCTCATATACCTGAGCTGTTCCTAAAATGTTTTCTGACCTATCAGTAGTTGCCTAATCTTGTGGAGCAGCTGAGTTTATTATGTCAAAATATGCTTTTAAGGAGAATGAATCAGTGAGTAGAAGCTCAGATTCCTGGGTAAGGAAACATGACTAGGTGAGCATGGGAAAAAAAAATAGGAGGCTGAGCTAGAAAGAATGATGTAGGAAATGAAAACTGAAAGAGAAAGGAGGAAAAGAAAGGAAGGTTAGCACGTGGAGAAGGAGTCAGACCTAGGACAGACATTATAGAGAGTAAGCTACTTAAGTGCAAGGGCCATATTTAATAAAGCTTTGTGTCTCCTATAACACACAGCCTATTCCTGAATACAGTAAGGACTCAATAGAGATGAACAACATTAGTGTTTAGGGGTAGTATGCAGGCCTCTCTCCTTCCACAGTCCTTCCAGCAGCTAATCATATCCAGAGCTTTCCCGAGTTAAGATTTTCTAGTTCATACGTGGGCCACTGCTTATGCTGTAGGGTCAATCATAGAAAGAACTGGGAGGCTCATAATTATATCTTTGACTGGTTATAGAAAAGAAGGAATAAGACTCAGTGCCTTGTTTAAATTTTTTTTTAAACTTTTGAACAGAAGACTTGTCACATAGGGTGAGCAGGTCCATTATCTATCCAGGTCTCTCATAAAGGCATCAAGGGATTTTAGGAAGGACATAGCTGTCTTTTCTGTTACCAGCTTCAATGGTCCAGGAAGAAGCCAGCCAGGAAAGAGGGTTTGGAAACACAAGATCCAGCTCCACTTCCAGCTCAGTCTTTTACCACCTGTATAATTCTGGACAAGTCATATTATCTCTTGGGACCTCGGCTACCTCGTCTATAAATAAGGGGGCTGAGAGTGGGGCCACATGCCTTACAAGGCCCCTATCAGCTCTAGAATCCTATAAAACCCAGAAGGTATCCATTTTCTTTAATACTAGATTGATCTAAGCTCTTTGCAAAGTTACTTAATGCTACTTCCCCCTTACCACTGTGAAGAAAGTTCTTCCTTTAATCTATACTCAAGTTCTCTCTTTCAGGTTTTAGGGTCCCTCCACATTTTCTACAGTAGGATTTAGTGAACAGGTTCCATATTCATCATAATGAAAACTTCTATGATTTTTACCAATTGTCAATTGTGTCCTGAAGAGACTAGAATAAAAAGGTTCCCAGTTTTAAGCACCAAAGTTAAGAGCAACTGTGAGTATGATGGGAGAAAAAAATTTCTGTATCAAACAGAATGTAATACACTATGGTCAGTTCTTCACAATGCTATACAGAAGTCTGGGATTTTAGCACTTTAATATATAAGGAAGACAGAGGAAGCAAACTTTGCAAAGTTCTAATATACCATCCTTATTTTGACCAATATTCTGGGAAAACAAAAACCCAAGTACAGAGGTTCAGTTCCTTTTGTTTGTTTTTTCCCTCCCCTCTTTCTTTTATTAAGTGACCATCATTGGGTGGCTAGATGACATAGTGTATAAAAATGTTAGGCTTAGTGTCAGGAAGACCTGAATTAAATCTTGCCTCAAGACACTTACTAGCTCTCTGTTCAAGTCACTTCATCTGTCAGCCCTCAGTTTCCTTATCTGTAAAATGAAGATAAAAATAGCACCTACCTCACAGTGTTCTTGTGAGGATCAAAGGAGATAACATTTGTAAAACACTGCAAATCTTAAAAGTGCTATGTAAATGCTAGCTATTAGCTAAAGTCCACCATGTGACTTTGGAAACGAAATCAATCCCTTCATTCAAGGTGTCCCATGAGGTCACCCTGGGCTCTCTAATTCTATGCCAACAGAGCACCAGAAGCCATCTGGCAGGTCCTACACCAAACTGGAAAGTTTTCAAAGTGTAGATCAGGCAGCACTCCATGTCTATTGTCCAAATAACAGCTTAGTCAAGTTTGGAAAGGTTTATCACTAGAATGTTAACTTCTAGGTGATGACTTCTTTCACTCACAGCAACTCAATGAGACTAAGTCATAGAAGGCATTGACGGTGAGAGCACCCACATGGATGAAATCACAGATCCTTGAATACTGAAGTAATTATGCCTCCTTACAGCATAGAAGTAACCCTGGGTTCCCAAGGGTTATGTCCACAGAATTCAAGCTCTATAAAGTCTTACTAAGCTGGAAAGGTTTTGAGCATAGGTCAAGTGACTGTTCCTATTGTTCGAAAACCAGTCTAGCAATGAGGAGGGAGACTTATCACTATAAGGGCCTTGTAGCACTGGTCGGTAGGCACTAAGTTTTTGGCCATAGCAACAGAAAATGGGTTATGGTCCATAAAGAGAGTGCATATGTCAAAGAAATCAAGAGATCTTTTGAAATATTTAAGAATTAAACAGAATTAAACAAACATCTAAAGGCTGATCTATAGGAAAGAAGAAGTACCATGCAGGTGACTTAGGAAAGTTAGAGATAAGCAACTTTCAGTTAGTTATAGAAAAAAGAGGACAACAACATCTCAAGTGATTAAAATCTACAGTTAATAATTAGGTCTCATCTTAGTCAATAAACAGTGTTAATCTCCTATCCTACCACACCTTTTACCAGCCATGGAAATAAGAAGCAAAATTAACAAATATACTTCACCAGGGCAGTTCAGAACCTATCTGTGTTTTGGGTAGATCCATAATCTATCTCCAGTGTAATACTTACCTAAATTTTTCTACAAATCTTTTATCAAAAAAAAAAACAAAACCAAAAACCCAACCCACCCCCAAGATTGCCTTTTGATCTTTTACTATTTTGTGGATACTAGTGCAACATGTGGGGCTATCTCTTAGCCATGATTCTTGCTACAGGGCTGACCTGCCTCCTTTTCTAGTCATCACTGTCCTCCATGACATCTTCTACATCACATTTTACCAGCAAGTCATTGTTGGTAATATGTTGCAGCTCACGTATATCTACTATACATCTTCTCATTGTCCTTTGAGCTAATTGTAATTTAGATTTTTTTTTAGATGGACCATGATGTCTCATGATTTGAATTTATTTTGTTATATTCTTCTTCCCCATATTTTGGTGGAGGTGTTTTTGAGTAACAAAGTGGTCAAAAGGCAGAAATGATGAATAAAAACTGAGGGATATAAATAAGCTATTAACTGGGTAAGTTGAATTGTAGACTCTGATATACTTGGCAAAAAAAGGAAGAAATGCATTTAATTTTGGTAGTTTTGCATTTTAGAGAAAAGTTAAGTCTGTTGCCACTCAACTGAGTGGACAAATGTTTCAATCTTTAGCTGAGACCACAGATCTACCAATGCAAGCAGCTGCTCCAGCGTCATATCTCGTTTCTACGTTCTCATGCATCATCCAGATCTACCCAATAGGTTCAAAACCTCTGTTTTCACCTTCTAGCCATGCCTGGCACTTTGCAAGTGTTTAATAAGTGCTTGTAGATTTGACCCCTGCAGCGCTTAGGCTACTCATCAATTAGCTCTTCACTCTGCTGCCTGGTATGCCCATCTCCTTCTTGGATTATATGATTTCTTTGACACCTTATATGTGACTTCTTGTGTTTAATGTAGCTTACTTCTACTCAGCATGTCTGCCTCCATTTCCTTTTGGATCACTTCAAATCTAGACTCTAGGACAATTGTACTTCAGGTTGGTTTTTTGTTAAGCATACTCAAATAGGTTTAAAAACATTCTCATAAGTTGGTGAGATCTTCTGAATATCCATCTTCCTCTTAGCTTGAAAAGAAACATCAATGGAAAAACAATGCTTTTGGTGGCTTTGTGGCTCCAGGTTAAGTATATATGGACTTAGGGCCATGGAGTCTGGTTTGTCTCTAAATTGTTATGTGGAAATCAGGACATCAAGTTGGATAATCTTCCCACAGTCAGTTGGGCTATTAGAGGTAATAGAGGGATAAAACCCAAATCCTCTACTTCTTTGCTCTATGCTTAAACATCTAGCCCTCCCTGCCCTTCCACTTGTTAACCAAACCATATATCAATATTGAAAACTAAATCTTTCAGGGGCAGCTAGGTGAGCACCGGCCTGAAGTCAGGAGGACCTGAGTTCAAATCTGGCCTCGGACCAAACATTTGACATATACTAGCTGTGTGACCCTGGGCAAGTCACTTAACCCCAATTGCCTAAAAACAAAACAAAAAAAAGAAAACTAAATCTTTCAAACCGAGATCCTTTCACTAAGAAGTCATTTCAAAGTAGAATCCAGAAACAATGACAGGGGACTCCCCTTCTAATACAGAGAAAATAAGAACAAAAAAGGCTAGTTTCAGCTATGAAATATACAAATCTACACATAATCTTTTAAGGACAGCTATTAGAAATCCAAAGTCAATATGTCTAGTGTTTCGTCCCCCTCACAACTCTAAAGAACCTATCTTTTAGGATTACTGTACTGTACTGAACAGTGACTGCTTGGTGGTGAAATTTTCTTTTGCAGGCCATGCCCATAGTCTATGATCAGGAAATGGACTCTCTCATCTGGCCAACAAGCACCTTTGATGAGAAGTGGTGATTACCAGCTGCTCAGTTTTGAGAAGCATGTAAGGTACTGCCAGTTTAGAGATTTGGCTCTTGGTGAAAATCCCAATACAAAGTGAGACATGCTTCATGAAAACTTCAATAATAGGAAGCAATCTCCAAAGAGAGAAACTGAAGATCTGGTCTCAGACAGTTACAAAAATAAAAGAAAATTCTGGAACTATTTTCTCTTTATTTCCTTAAAAAAAAAAAGATACTTTCCAGTGAAATAATTTCTTGTCCCATTTGGTTAAGATCAAGACCATGACTGAAAGAGTTAAGATAATCACCCTTACAGGGAAGTGTTATTTGATATTTTGGGCCAAAGAGCTTTTTTCTGTTACTTCCCCTTCACACACACACACACACACACACACACACACACACGCTCTCTCTCTCTCTCTCTCTCTCTCTCTCTCTCTCTCTCTCTCTCTCTGTGTCTTTCTCTGTCTCTTTTTCTCTCTCTAAATGTTTAGGTTATAAACATCTACCCAGTGACATTCACAGGTCTATTCTCTGATACCAGCTTCCATCCTTCAACCCCTCTCTTTTCTCTCCAAGTTTAGTGGGAATACCTAAACCGAAAGAGTGGCAGTTTTCAGGAAATCCTCTAGAATTACTTCTACACACCTCAATAACCAACAATACAATGCATATGGATTCTAGCAGGAAGAAGATTTTCATTTCTGACTTACTTTTTTTTTGTTTTAAGCAGCAAGTATCTCAAAGACAAAAAAAAGCCTCTTTAAGTATAGAAATCTCTATGCATGACTATACATATGAACTCAAATTTGAAAACCAATGTTTGAAACTAGTTTAGCCAATTCATCCAGGTAGCTACATTTGATGCTCCCAAAAAGCAAGCAGCATGCAAAGTTGAGTTAGTTTTAAAGTCAAAATAACTGGTGAAGCACCAGAATTACGATCTGAACATAGGTTGCACTCATATTTACATTCAAAGAAGCCCCACAAATTAACATGCAAGCACAAGACAAAAACTCATCACAATAATACTTTCACTCATATTACCACCATTAAAAACATGTTGTGGATTTAAACACAAATTTTCAAGAACACATTTGAAATGCATCAAGAAAATTAAATCTATAAATATAGATTTTTAAGCTTATCGTCATGGGTAAGTATTGCTTCTAGTAACGTCGTTATTTCTTAAGTCATAAAGAGAAATTCAACAATATATTCATTCAGAGAAGTGAAACACCCTCAGTAACATTTATAAGCGGAACTTATTTAGGGTTTCACAGTAAATGTGGATTTCAGTACCATACCGTTTTATGGAGGATAGAAGAGGACTCTGGAAAATATAGTCCTGGCCAGAGTTTAAAGGGCAGTGGCAGTTTTTTTTCCCCCTTCCTTTTTTTTTTTAAACATTAACCTTTTGTTTATTAAGAGACAGTCAGTTCTCTTCAGTATACTAGGCAGCAACAGTCCCTGACCATCTCTAAAATATTCAAAAGAAGGCCACAGATGTCAAAAGCCTTTTTATTTTTATATTTTACAAAAAAGGCTTTGTATACTGGTTTATTTGATTTCCCCCAGAAAAGGAGTGGTTATGGATCAGACTTCATTGTTCATTATGTATATTCTTAAGGCTTCTGAATAAATAGAAAGTCAGATTTTTTTTCTTAAACCATGGAGCTCATGTCCCATGAATAACTGTTGAAGAACAAGGGAGAATCCCATAGAGCGCTTACTTTGCTTTGTGTACAATCTTAGAGGGAGGACAACACAGCAACAGTAATCAGGAGGAACATGCAGGCTTTAGAGTGAGAGCTCTTGGAAAAAGAACCGACCTGCCATATGCTTTTAATCTGATTTGTCTATGGATTGCAAAGGCTTATTTAACATCTGTGCAGAAAAGCTGGCCTGGCAATCCATCGCCACTCCTTTGTACCCCAAGACATGTACTGTACAAAGAGGAACACATTTTATAAACAGAACAACAGTGGCAAGAACCCCTACAACTCAGCCCCTGAGAAAGGAGAACATCATACAGGAGAAAATGCAGTGGATAGAAGCCAAGGACAAAAGTTCAAGGTTGTGGTCTTGAAGTTTCGGGTGAGCACCCTGTTTTCAGGTCACAGAAAGACCAACCACCAAACAGCTAATGCAAGAACCACAAGAAAAGACATCACAAAAGGAAGACGAGGAGATGGAAAAGTACTAGAGTACAGGTAGCACTTTTTGAGGGACTTGTGTTCCTCAGGGATTGGAATGGAAACCTTGGGAAGAGCTTCTTCATTTTCTTGCTGGGGCAAGGCTCTCTCAGTGGATCTCTTTTGCCTTTTTATTTTGTCTTCATCCTGTACTAACAGAGCACGTTCCTGTGTCTGCTTTCGTGGTAGAAGATCAAGAAAGACAGAGAAAGATGAACACAATGACAGATGGAAAATGCTCAAAAAATGGTACTTGGGGATGTGCAAAGTATTAACTCAGGTAGATATTTTGGAACCTCTCCGCCAATCCAGGAATCGGCCCTAATGAAACCACTCCTGAGGGCAGTGCTCAAGGATCATTCATGAGTGCTCTGTGTGAGCTTCAGAGCAGTCCTCTTCAGAAAATCCACCCAAGAGTTTGGGTCATTCCTGTTACGTGGGCAGTGCTCATTCCTCGTTAGACAGAGTAAACAAAACCAGCAATGAAGCATTTCTCTCACCATCAGAATGTTATTTGTGTCATAAATAGAAACAACAGAATAGAAAAAGTTATCTTGGTATCTGCCCAAGAAAGTACAGGTAAAGCCTAAAAAAACTGTAACTCATTCACTATAGTAATTACTTTTGCTCCAAGAAGAAAACATCTTAATCTTATAAATTCTGAGGTTCTTCAAAACAAAAACAAATATATATATATATATAAAAATAAAATTTTATTTCATGCCCCCAAATCTGACTATGGACAGTACACAAACAATACTCAGGCCACTGCAAATCTCACACACACACTCACCACACAAGCACAGACACACAGAGAGACATATGAAAACTACTTTCCAGATTGGAAGCTCTTTGACGTTAACTTTTCTCTTTTCATGTATGTCTTTTTTCATTTGAGGAACTATCTTTGGAGGCATGACTTTATAAATCAAACACTAACAATGTGAAGGGCTATGTGCTACACTGTGAAGATGTTTCATGGGAAACTGGTTATGCAGCTGAGAACTCCATTTTTCCCTCTCTGTGCACTGCCATTTGGGCATGAGCCAGGTGTTATCTAGGAGAGAAAAAATTTGGCCCTAAGTTCTCTTAGTTGAGCCAGCCTCCTCTGGTCACTTTGGAAGTTTGACACTGGTTCTTTGCACACCCCTAAGTGATGTGTATCAGGGAGAAAGTAGCTGGGGGACTGATCAGCAAAAATGGGAAGAAAAAAGAAAAGGAAAGAAAGGATGCAAAATTAATGTGATTTTTAAAAGAAAAGAAAACCAAAAGGGAGAGAAAGACAACATAAAAAGAATAGGGTACAATTAAATTGGGTTTCTTCTCTCCAAATACCCAGTAACATCCTCATGCAGCTTTCCAGCCAGCCATGCACGGATGTAAGCAAACCAAAAGCTGTCAAAGCTGCTCTCTGAGCAGGTGGTCAGGAGTTACGCCAGGAGGCTGAAGGATGGGAGTCTGCTGGTGGAGCCCAAAGAAAAATATTACTCAGCAGCTGCTGCATGGTCTGGGGCAGGGGGATTCTCTGTTTAGCGCCATGACAAGAGCAAATCCTGGCTTCAGCAGCATGAGTTCTAACAGCAGCTTTACCTCAGGCCCACCAATCTTTCTCTCCGAAGGAAGGACAGAGGCTTTCTTCACCTGGGCATACACAAAGCATGGAAAAATCAGTTGCCTTGCAATGCCCTGAAAGAAGGGAAGAAGATTCCTCGGAAAATGGAACCATCATCCCAAGAGTTAAAGGAAATGGAGGAAATAAATGCCAGAATGGGAAATAATTTCCTGTAGAAAAGACTTTGGGATTTAAACTAAAGCTGCACTAATGTACCTGTGCACACGGGACAAAGTTGAAAACGACACTATTCCCACTCCAATCCCCTCAACCTCCAAGTGTCACTCCTCATTGGAGTTCTGAGCCTTCTCTGTAACACACAAGACTCGATACACTACAAAACACATCCTTACCAGCCATGCAGAGTTGAATTTCCTTGCATTTATAAAAAGGTAACAGTAAGAACAGTTCCCTGCTAGGATTTGGGGGCTGCCTACCCTTAGTGCTGGGTTTTGCTCTATTCTCTTTGTTTATTCACCCCATACTTTCAGTGTATAAACCACCAAATGCTCAAGGGTCCCTATGGGTCTGTCAATCTAGCTAAAAAACCCATTTCTTAATGCTCCCCTAAAATTCCCCAGACTAGCTCTGAGACAGTTTCCAGAGGGGACTAAAATGTGTTATACTTCTGGAAATGGCGATTGACACATTTACTTAACACTCAGAAAATAAAGTTCTAGTTTTTTTGGAGGAGAGGAGCAGAGGTGGAAGGCTGATAACTAGACACTTTCTAATGTTTAGACAGGGAGCAACTGCAACAGCTTCTCAAAGCTCTGTGTGGATGTAATGAACCTGAACGAGGGCTGGACTAATCCACAGAAATGCTGGGCATCTCTCCAGCAGAAGTGGTGAAGGTGGGGCAGGGGAGGAAGAGATGCATGTGGCTAAGGATTCCTAGGAGAAAAGGGGGAGGGGTGTTGCAATGGGTGGATGAGAAGGATGCATGTGGCTGGCAGTAGTGGTCTGCTATTGCTGGGAGCTCTGTACAGAGGCCTTTCAGCCTACTCTGTGGAGATAGTTAAACAGATACAGAATGTTAGACTTGTAAGGGCCTACAGAAATCATCCAGTCCAACTTGTTTCAGACTGTTGGCCTAACTTTACCATATAGCTTTGTCAAGAAGTAGCTTTAGACCAGAAATAGCTTTTATAGGCTAACTTTTTTTTGCAGTTTTAGATACCGTTACATCTAGACCATTGCTCATATATTCTGATTATTTTTAAAAATTAGTTTTTAAATAGCTAAGTCACCACTCTTAATTAGGATTATTACTATCTTTGGGAGGAGAAAGACAGGATTTTGTGTTAAATGTTTGGTGAGCTGAGTTACAATTTTCCCTTTGCATCATTATGACTTATCACATAAATGAAGAATTTGTAGAGAATAAAGATTTTTAAATGAGTCTCTGGGTCAGTAACTTTCATTGCTCAAGGTAACCTTCAAGAGATTCTCATCATACAGAGCTATTTAACTGGGTGTATGACTTCTAAATTAGGCAATGGCATTAGTAATGGAATTAAGGACAGTCCCTGCAGAATCTCCCTAAACTCCTCCAATTGTGGCAAAAAACTATGAAAACTACAAAGCATTTAAGATTCCTCTCCACAAAGATCTGGTATTCAGCAACCTTTGAAGAATAAGCCCTCAGTTTATTAACAAAATTGTAGGCATTAGTCCCCAAAGTCACCAGATTATTCAGAAGTGTAAAACATGGCTAAAAATATCCCCTCATCTACTCATTTTCAATTCTGAACCTGTTAATATCAGCATTATGTACAAAGTACAATGCCTTGTACTTACTAAATACTTAATAAACGTTTGTTGTTAGTGAGTTTCTTTGCTTTTCTCTAGGATGTTTTAAATCTAACCATTTTACAGCCTTAAATTGCACTCACTAAGAAAGCCCCAGCTAAGAGTTTTCTAGTAGAAAGATTTCTCAGTGTCCAGTCAATTGTTGGGCCTGGCATTACTTCTTAGAGTCCATCTGAGTGACCTATAAAACTTAGCGTGCTCACCAGAAACACCCTGAAGCTGTAACAATATCATGGGACAGAAAGAAGATTTTATCTACGCTCTCCAGTTGAGAATGTGGAAAAGTCTCATTTTCCCACGTGTCATGACACCTTATCCCACAGTACTCACTCCTTCTCCTGAGGGAATCTGCCCATTGAGGTTCAGCGTCCGGAAGGGAGAGTGAGCCGACAGGCGTTTGTCCCACTCGCTGGGCCGAGGCTCTGGGACAGACTCCATGAAGCTCTTCTTGAGCTCACTAATGCTGGCATGGTGCTTCCTGATCTCCTCCTGGGTCTTGTCTAAATCCTACAGTTGAGAGAACAAAGGAGCAAAACAATAAGCCCTTGAGAATAAAACCAGACCAAGAGCAGCCCATGAGAGGCAGTGGGCCTGGCAGAAAACACACCACATCCAGGAGATAGGTTGCCAAATCCATAGTTGCGCTAAAACTGAAAATATACCACTGGGGTATGCAGCCTTGTTTTCTTTCCTTTTCTTTTTAAAAACAAGGAACTTTTCTCAGAAGCAGATAAGCATCATGACCAGAGGGCATCTTTGAACAACATGATTTGATCAGAGATGTTGTCAAGAGGATTCATTAATCTGACAGCACTGGACTACGATTACCTCTGAGGTCCCCTCCAGTGCGAAGATTCTGTGACTTGTCAAACACCCATGAAGAGTTCCTTCCTTTATTTATTTTACATCTCTCCTTTCTCCTATGATGTCCTGATACTGGAGAGAAGGTACCCCCAGCTCTCTATCACCTAATCCAATTAATGCGGATGGTCTCTCAATTTAATCGCCCTCATTCTGGGTTAGGTGACACTGACCTGGTTTAAGCTCAGGCAGGATGGAGATGATAAAAAGAAAGGAGAGATTGCTGAAGGTTGCTATGACAAAAAAAAATCAAGATTCTACCACTAAGAGTGATATTCATTTTTATCAGGAAGATTGGCAACCTTGGGCTGACTTAGGATTTATGGCTGTCCCCCTAGGTCCCCAACAGCAGCTAAAGTAATGCAAGGTATGCCTTTGGCTACTTATTTTTAAAAATCATTTTTAGTTTACAAACAGGTGGAATCCCATTCTTTCTGATATGATATAAAGTTCACTGCAGTAATCCTCAATGCTGACCTTCATTCTAGACTCAGAAGCTACAACTGATACTGGACATAACAGTTCATCTACTTGGGTTACTGTTCACATGGTACCGAGGAATTCTCTACCAATTTTCTCTACCATTTTTTTCTTCACTCCCAGGTACAATTCAAGGGAATGAGCTTAATCTAATAACTTTCTGTGGATGAGGGTGTGGCTACTAAAAGTCTATCTAAGACTTTATGAGCCTCCTCAACAATTTAGGGATGAGGGGGACAAAGTTCACTGGCCTTAGATATGAATTCTGCATAACCAGAAGCAGGGAACAGGAACTAGAAGGGATATCCTCAAGGAAAAAATGTGGAAGATCTGATAGTTATTCATAGGGAGAAGGGAGGCTCATTTTATTATTTCTATCATTGGATCCCAAGCAAAAACCACAATGCTCTGCATACAATAGATATTTAAATTTAACTGAAAATAAGAAAACTGTATGAGTTGAGCACTGGCGGGGTGGAAGGTAGGGATACACTCAGGTACAGGAACCGAGAAGAGTCATGAAAAATGGCCTCAAAATAAAGTCAGTTCTCCAAAGGAGGTCCTTACCAGAAAATGCCTGACAGCCATTTCTTGAAAACAAGAATTCCGATGCTCCTTTTCTTGTCTTTTTCTTTAAAGAACCCAAAAGATCCATGCTTGGGTTCAAAATACTTGGGAGGTCCTAGACGTTTAATAGCTGTTAAAAATCCCAGGAATTTATTTCTTATCAGCATAGCTATGTACTCAGGAGAAGGTGGATGTTAAGTCCACATCCTGGTTTACTGCATGCGTTTCAGAACTGACTTTTATTTGGCCCCCTAGATAAAAACCTCTTTTTACAAAAGAAATGGAGTTTATTTAAAATAAAAGGTTTATATTTAATGTGTGTGTATATATACATATATACTCACATTTTCAAAAGCAATACTAAAGGGAAATTAGCATGTAGGTAGGGGAATCAGTAGAAGAACCCTAATTTTTATTCTAGATCTATAGTTTACTTACTAAACTCAATTGCTCTTTAATCTATTTGCCCATTTTCTTACATTAGACTGAACTATGAATTATTGCTTTACAATCACTCAAAGAAAAGACTGACCCAGGAGAGAAGATCCTGTGATTTGTTCCTCAGAGTACTTCCTGCATGCTGGGATGAATTGTGGGTATTTCTCATGCATACAGGCTTCACCAATGAAAAGTGACAGTTGGAGTTTTTGTCTCAGCAAAGAGCAAAAGGGATATGTTTACTAGCTATGGAAATGCATGAACAAGCCAGAGCCTAGTAAGAATTTAGCATAAAGACCCGATTCCTGCTTGGAAATTAAGTGCATGGAGAAGGTGAAGAATAAAGGTGAAGAACAACTTTTTAAAAATCAGAAGTATTTAAGTGGTAAGCAGAAAAAGACCTAAGATCCAGCAAGAGAAAAAAAAAACACCCATCAAACCAGAGTTTTCCATGGAAGCCCTTTAATGATTGACAAAGGTGATTGCTATGTCCATCCTGCCAAGCTTGTGACACTGTTTGGGTCCCGAGATGATAAGGGCTTTCAATGGCAGCAAAATGGAAAGATACTAGACTTGGAGTCAGAGGACTTGAGCTTGAATTCTGGCTATTGAACCACTACGTATAATCCTGGACAATATATAACCTTCCTGGGCCTCAGTCTTCTCACCTATACAATGAGAGGATTAGACTCAGTGATCTCTTCAGTTCCTTCCAAATCTAACTATGTTATGAAGTCAGTGGATTCTTAGTGAGGTTAGCTAGCCCTCTGAGAAATTTGGGGGTGGAAGGAGAAGGAATATGGTAGGGATTTGGTAACAATGAAGAAACTCTGAAGGCAACCATTTCAAAGATATTTACTGTGCACACTTGCTTTGGAAGATGAGGGTAGAAGAGAAAAGGATTTTAAAGTGAACCTGACCTTGTTTATGCCAGAATAAAAGTAGCAAATGGGGGTAATACCTTGCTCAATGACAGATAACATAGTTTTGGAAGAGGAAAAACTTTCTCCCTAGAGGAAGCATTAAAGTATAATCAGCTAAATTTCCTCAATGACCCAAAGGTTAGACAATTTTACTGATATCCCCAATCTCATAATTTCAGCAGTAATCAAACGAAAAAGCTTTATTAAATAGAAATGTTTTCAAAAGTTGGTTAGTAGCCTCTATTTTAAAACACACACACTTGTTTAGGAATCCCCTCTCATGGCTATCAATGAAATGCTAGGAGAAAAAAAAAAGCACATCACACACAGGAACACTGTCAATCTCAGAAGTCACAACACACTCTATGGAACACAGGGCAAATATATGATTGGTACTGTAGGTTCCTGTTGGGGGAGGGATGGAAGAAAACAATCTGGGGAGAGGGCTTCTCCTCAAGGGTGGCCTAGTTAAGAAATACATTTTTATTTGAAATTAACAGATGATCCCATAAGGGGCAAACACAATTTTGTTATCATCAAACTCTGGAGCCTGAGCCAATTCTAGGCTACTCCTAAGTATGTAGCTACAGGCTGGGTAGAATCCAGTGAATCTGCTAAAGTTTGAAATAATCCACATGAAATTTTGAGTCATCCCTGGCTCACAGAACTCTCATTCCATTTTGTCTGGAAGAACTGAAGGAGCAAGGGACTTCTTGTCTGGGTACCTCTCCAAACCTGGCTGTTAGATTACACTTTGGAGGGTACTATCAACAAAGGAGAAAATAAAGAATTGCAGAATAAAATTCTTAATGTTTGGTTTCTGAGAATTAAATGGAGCAGGATCTCAGGCATGAAGCCTATTCTGCTGGATATTAAAAATACACACAGAGCTGGCAAAAGGGAAGAGAGTAATTCCACAATCTGAGATTTATGGTTGCTATCTGGAGGCAAGTGGCTTTCTCACATTTTAGATGAAGAAACAACCAGTCAAGGCTAAGTGAATTGACAGAGGCCATATATTTAGCCAGTGGCAGATGTAAGGAAGAACTCTCATTCCTTCCAACAGCTTACAATTTAATTTGATCATAGAATAGTGCTATATGAAGACTAGTATTTAATATATGCTTTTGGAATGACTGATTCATCAACCTACACTTTCCAAAAATGGAAGAAAAATGGTGATTTCACTTGACCAGACATACTATTCCTTTTCCAGCACCCTGCTAAATGCACTTACCCCTTTGCATGCCTGACATAAATAATTATGATTTAGATACATGTTTTATTCATTTGTCTGCTAGTGTTTAATATTCTGATCAACACTGTGTTAGATCATAGCTTCCCAAGATACAAGAATTGTGTCTAACTTGTTCCATACAACACAATGTCATGTTGGCAACAATTTCTCTGTTTCTTTAATTATAGGATCATGATAGGTTAGGAAGAGAACATGACAGGTTATCTAATTTCTTCCTTCAGTCAGAAATATGACACTACAGGAAGCAGATTATGAATCCACACAAAGAAAAACCTCCTAACAATTAAGGATATCCAACAATGGGATGGGCTACCTCAGCAGGGAATGAAAATTCTCTGTCACTGGAGACCTTAATGATCTAAAAGCTCAATGATCACATGTCAGGTATGTCACAGAGAGAATTCATGTTTCAGGTAGAAGTTGAGGGCTGTTCCTACTTGGCTTTAAGAAAAACACTAAAAAATCATCTCAAATTAAAATTGATTCAATTAAAAATTTCCTACAAAGAAGGAGAATGAAGAAACTGATGCAGTGATACATCTCAACATTTAAGGAACCTATAGTGGGGAAATTCTTAACATTTAAGCTAAACCCTTAATACTAGAATTAAGCCTACTTCTTTTGCTCTGTATTCAGGGGATCAGCTGGTCATTAGGCTCTATTTAAGAGTCCTTCAAAAGCTGGAGGATAATTAAAGTGCCCTTCTAGCAACTGAATAATAGAAGCTCTTTTAAAGTCTTGTTCAGGGGTCTCAATGGCTGACCCCTTTTGACAGTTTTATATAGTTCTTTTCCCAAATTTAAGCCTAGTTATAGAATCTAGAATAGGATACAGTAGGTGAGGAGGGGGTTTGACCAATGTTGGGGGATAACAAGAGCATTATTTCATCATTCCTATATTACTCTCTACACTGTACCCTGATTTGCTTTTCCTTACTGCCTTTTTTTTTTTTAAAGATCACAGTATCTTAAGTATAATGGAAAGAACTCTGGTCTTGGCAGTCAGAAAACTTGGGTTCAAATAAGCTATGGAAGCCTAGGCAAGTCATGCAACCCCTCTACCTCAGTTTCCCCATGGGTAAATGAGGGTAAGGATATTTACACAATCTGCCTTACCGAGCTGTTATAAGGAACAAATGGGGTCAAGTATTAAATAAACATGGGTTCTTAGTCTTCCTTCTTTTCTGGCTTCTTTTGGTTTCCGACACTATGAATTTAGTAAGCTCATCTGAACTCTGAACCTATATTTAAATGTACTTAACATATTTCCAATTTGCCCATCTTACCATTCCCCTATCTGAACCTCCACACGGTTTCAGGCCAGCAGATGAAAATAATGCAACTTTTATCTGAGACCTGGGCTCATCTTTGGGAAAATTCAGGAGACTCTGAGCATGAATATGAACTTCCTGAGAATAAGCAAATGGATAACCAGTCCCCCATTTGAAATGGAGGTAGTCCCAATCATATATTTTTCAGATAAGTATGACAGATGAAAACTAAAAAGGCAAGAGAGATGGTTGCAAATATTCATGTTTTATCAACATGCAAAAGCGTTTTTTAAATCTAAAATTTTCTCATGCAAGAGCATGCAAAACCAAATGCAGCACAGGAGGAAGAAAAAGAGGCCAGCAAAGAATGCAGAAGGTTCCAGGCAACCAACTGAAATTAGCTTCAAGTTCATACAAACCTCCAACATTAAATTGCTATGTCTGATATAAATGTTTTCACCATCTAGTCTCTTTGTTTTTTTCTGTGAAAATGAAAGGGGGAAAAAAACAGAAAAGCACAAAAAATTAAAATGTTGTTCTTGCAGGAAAAATTGCAAATTGGCAAATCAAAAAATGTTTAAAACCAAACATCTGGGACACAGCATATGACACAACACGGAATGGTCATGGAACCACAATCACCACCAAAAAAAAAAAATGGACGAATTTGTGAGTGATGGAAGAATGTGGTGATTTCATTTAAACAGACAGCGCTCCTTGTTTTATTGGCTTCCCCGACATCAAATTCATGCTTCCTACTCACACCTGAAGCTACAAAGGTCTTTTAAATAAGGAGAAAATGCAAATCATTTAAAAAACTTCAGAAGTTGTGGATATTTACTTAGAAAGATAATCATTTATTTTTCAACATCAGGTTGCAAGTTTGGTGGCAAACTACATGACAAACACCTCTCATGCTTTGTGTGAGGCAGGGATGTCAGATAACAGCTCTCTGGAGTAAAAATAGTATTCACCTCACTTATATAAGATGGGGGAAACACAGCAAAGGAGGGACGGGCAAACAAAGCCAGTTTCTGACAATGACACAAAACTACTACCTTGATGGTGAGTTTGACAAATTTGAATAAAATGCTTTAATAACAAAAAGGCATTTTCATCATTTTACCAACAAGCCAAACTTCTAGCTGACACATGTCATGAAAAGGTGAATAAAGGATTGTTTTTCCTTTGGTCTCCTTTGCTGATCTCTGCTCTCCACGTGAGAGCGTGAGGTAAGGACAGCCTTCAAGTAATCAATAAGAAGCCAATGAAAAGAATGGGTCACTGTCTCTTTAATGCACTTAAAGTGAGCGTGGGCAAAGTGGCAATGTTGCTTGGTGAAATTGAAAAGTGTCTAACCTTCCTCATTCTTATCAGATCTTCTGTTTTTTCTGCAGGTTGCTGTTTTGCAGTAATTGAAAAAAAAAGAAAAGAAAAAATGATAAAAAGTTGGCTCATTGAAATTTGCTTGGACCTTCATTTTACAACCTTGAAAAAAAATAGAAGAAAAAAATGGGGGCAGAAAAAAAATTAAAAGGAGCATGAGCAACTGTCGGCACAAACCTGGATTTGGTCACCATTTATGGTGGGTGGTGTGACCTCGATGTGGGTTTTTTCCACCTACATTTAAGAAATAAAGTGGCAAAAACAGTTCAGGTTAGTGGGTTTTTCAGGAATAGCTTTGCTCCAACACATAAGTTGAACATTTTAGCTGGTTGTAAAACACAATCTAATATATAATCATCACCATGCAGTCTTGAGGAAGGTGTTATGGGAAAGCAGCTCACTCACTTCCAGTAACAATCTATTAGTTCACTTTCGCATCTTTGAAGCCAAAATGGTCATTTGGAAAACAGATTTAGAAAAGAGGATTCCAGGTAAGTATTCCATTTAGCTTAAGGTTAAGTGAGTATGCTTCTTTAAAGGAAAAGTTGACTGGTAGTTATTACCAAAAATCAAGGCCTTAATCAAATTGTCATTGTGTCTGTATAAATGACTTTATGTTTCTTTTGGTGGTCAGAAAGCACTTCAGAAAATATTTTTTAAAACCATTTCATAGGAAAAAAAAAGAAGAAAAAATTGAGGCATGGTATATATTTCAGAGACAAATAATTCATATCTGCATTTAACACACATACAGTATACAATATGATTTAAAACCAAAAAGGGAAGTACGAAATTTTTGCTAGCTGACCAAATTTTTTTTAAAAACCTTCCATACCTATACCTCAGCTAATCACATATTAAATCATAAAATCCACTGACCTAAAACAGACACTATGCATCATTAAATGTGATGAATATAGAATATATGCAATGTTATGAGACCTCAATATCTGTAAACCAGTAATGCACAGTGACAGACTACTTCCATCTATCATTCTGTTATCACGTATATTGTCTAAATCCGATAGATATGATTTCCTTTTATGCAACAAAGCTATTTTGTTACTCGGATTACATGACAAATATGGTTTTAGGTCAATGTCAGATTTCTCAGCACTACAATTCCAACTTGCTACAAACAAAATCAGAACAGAGTTTATTGTTATTGTTAATATGGGGAACAATTAAGATAATTGAGGATTACCAGAGATGGCTTTCAACTGATTACAGTGAGATTACCTGAAGTACATTTACATAACAATTAATTGGCAAGAAGACTCATTCCTATCACTCAAATGGGGGCACATACCAAGGGAGAATTCTTCCCACTCTGCTACAGTCGCAATTGCAAAGGGATGCTATTCTTAGACACAATTATGTCTGTCCTACAGGCAGGCAGAGAACAAGTAAATTAGCAGAAGGCCAGAGGAGTTTTAGCCATTGCCAACACAGCTCCCTGCCAAATGTTATAATATAACACTTTCCAGACAGTCAGTGTAAAGGATGGAGGGGCAGAGGTAATATCATCAGAAATGCCAAGCTGTACAATGAGCAAGAAAAAATAGTCAGCTCTGATACTCTGTTATAAAGGCACTACTGACATTGAACCTAAAGTTCAGCTATTTTTCAGTCATGTCTCTTTGTGACTCCATTTGGGGTTTTTTTTTTGGCAGAGATACTAGAGTGGTTTGCCTTTTTCTTCTCCAGCTCATTTCACAGATGGGAAACGGAGGCAAACAGGGCTAAGTGACTTGCCCAGGGTCAAAAAGCTAGTAAATAAGGCCAGACTGGAACTCAGGAAGATGAGTCTTACTGACTTCAGGCCCGGCAATCCATCTCCTGTGCCCACCTAACTGCCCCAACACAGGTGGCCACAACAATGCTTGCATTGCCAGTATATACATAGATATGCACAGTCTCTCTCTTTGGACCCAAGTTAGACCTAAAGCACAAAAAATAGGCAAAAAAAAAAATCCTTGCATGCAGCTGCATCTTTTGAGATCATGTGACACAGTATAAAGAACACTGGCCTTAGAGTGAAGACACCGGGGTTTGAATTCCACACATGCAAACTGTTAGCCACATGACTTGGCCAAGTCATTTCCCTTCTTTGGAGCTCACCTTGCTGACTTCTAAAATGAAGGGGCTGGAGTATATCATCTCCAGGGTCCCTTGCCAGGTCTAAAATTCTTTGACACTGTGAGTCTAAAGTAAGCCAGTCTAATCTGTGGTCTAAGTGAAGAATTAGCACAAATAGGCCACAGTTAATCAAATTGCCAAGGTAGCAGAACTTCCTGAGGGTCTAATGGATATTAGATTTCGCAACTGCTTGACAAAATTTAAAATCTCTTCTTAAAAAGATCGACACATTCCTCTCTCATAATTCATGCTATCAATAGTGGCATTTGTACCTTCTCTAATAAAGTGAAATGAACACCTCAGGACTAGCATTACTTATACATGCTTAAATAGTTCTGTCAACATATACAAGGTTACCCCAACGCCTTCCTGATCCTCTGGGAAATTAGCTGATAAACTCAAGGCATTTACAAAGGGGCTCAGTGATACTATGTACAATCAACTCAGAGTCATAACAAACTCAAGAGAATGGCTTCTCTTCATTGGTGAGGCAAATCCTAAAAATTCAACATACAAATGGACCTCATTTTTATGAAATAAACATGCTCTGGAAAAGCTGTATGTATATCAGATTATTTTTAACACATTTAAGCTTTACTACTTAAAGAACTTCCATTGGGAAAATAATCATTTAATTTTGTAAATCTGGTCTTTTACATACTGGCTCTTTGCATCAAGTGGATACATATAACTTATTCAGGAACAGCTGTGCAGACTTCAACCGTATAGGTGTTTCCTAGAATTAAAAAGGAAGCCTTTTGACATCCCCCCCTTTCCTATTACTCAGTTGGTGGTGATGATGGGGTGGTCCAGAGATATGGAACACTGCATATAATGTAAGTTTTTTTGATGTATTGATTGGTTTTGCTGGATTTTTTTTTCTTCCTACTTTTCTTTCTCTTTTTAAAATATTCTCTGTTATAAGGAATGTCTCTCTAGGAGGGAAGAAGGGGAGGGTTAAAGGGAGAAAATCTGAGATACATAAAAACAAAAGATAGCAATGAAAATGTCAAGGAGTTCTCTCCCTTGAGGACACAATTATGTCAAAAGAAAACAAAAAAAGTGAGAAGGGTCTGATAACAGGTGGAGGTACAAGTCGAGAGAACACCAGTTTGGGAGTCACGAGACCTGGTCTCTGCCATTTACATGCCGGTACATTTACAATCCAGTCTCTGCTCTGCCATTTACATGCCATGTGACGATGGACAAGTCACTTCATCTCCTTTGGCCTCAGTTTTAAAGCAGTAAAACTATTAGATGATAGTTTTGTAAAATGATGGAATTATAAGTAAAATGAAGGAGCTGGACTAAATCAGGGTGCTTAATCTGAGAATTGGCCTTTTTTTCTATTTTGATATATTATCAATATGTATTTTACTTCATATATTTAAAATGCAATTCTACAAATGAGTTTACAAACTTCAGACTGCCAAAGGGATCCAGGACACAAAAAACCTGAAGCAGGCCTGCACTAGACATCTTCTAATACTGTTATCAGCTCTAAAATTTTGAGCCAGATGCTTCCTCGTTACATCGGCTGATTCAAAACCCAGTAACCCCACCCTCATTACAGAAAAACAAAACAAGGAAAATGCTCTGAAACCTCCTCAGTTAACCAGGAAGAGCACAGGGACCAGGTACTCTAGGGAAACACCAAACTAGTGTAACAAGTATACCTTCCATACTTCAGTGGGCTCTGGTTCCACTTCTTCGGGTGCCACTTCTTCCTTTTTAATCTCTACCTTCACAGTTTCCTTCTGCACTTTAGAGACTGTGGGTTTCTTGCCATTCGAGGTACCAGGAAAGTTGCCTTCTGGACCATGGCTCTGAGCAATGGCTGGTGCTGAGGTAGGCCGAGGGCTTCGGTCTGGTGTCTCTACTGCTCCAGCTGGACGGAGAGAAGAGGAAAGGTAAAAAAAAAAAAGGGCAAGATTCACAATGCCCCATTTCAAAAACCACTAGACAAAGGAGCTATGATCTTCATAGCCATACTCATGCTGTGCTGTAGTATATATGTCCAAAACTTAACTCATCTCACCACTTGAAATGGGTCTTTCCTTCTTACACTATCTCTGTGTCACCAGCATGTTATCTAGTGAATCAGGCCTAAAAATCTATTCATCATTGACTCTTCTTTCTCCCTTACCCTCACATCTAATCAGTTATCTAGTCCTGCTATCTGGCACATAGTAGGTGCTTAATAACTACTAGATGACCGGCTATTGATTCAACCTCCCCCATCTCTCTCATGTGTAACATTCACATTGCCACCACTAATTCAGGTCGTTATTACTTTTCACCTCAACTATTGTAATAGCCTCACCAGGAATATTCTAAAAAGATTATCTTCCTGCTTTCAGTTTTCCCCCTTTCCAAACCTTCTTTCACTGAGCTGCCAAAATCTAGCCACGTTCTCTCCCTTCCCAGAAACCTTGAGGGACTCCCTATTGCCTAAAGGGGGAGAAAGACAAACTTTGTAGGTTGGCCAGTAAGGCCCACTATGATCTAGCTCTCCTCTACCTTTCTAGCATCATTTCACACTATTCCTCCCACTCACATGCTCTGTGCTCCAGCTAAAAGGAACCACTAACTGTGACTCTGCCCTCTTCTCTTCCACCTCTATGCATTCATGCAGAATTTCCTGGAATGCACTCTTGTATCATCTATGTCAGCTAATATTTTTTTCTCTGTTCTTAAGGCCCAATTCAAGTGGTACTCATGCCATAAAGAGATGGACGGTATGGCACAATGGAAGAGGCATTGGATGCGGAGTCAGGAAGCTGGGATTGAGACAGGGTTTAGATACTTATAAGCTGAATGACTACTGACAGGAGTTTCCTCAACTGTAAAATGTAGATAATAACATTTGTTCTAGCTACCTCAAAGAGTTCTGAGAAAAACACTTTGCATGTCTTAAGGCACAACAGGAATATAAATTATTATTTTTGCCCTCCATTGAAAAGTAATCTCCCCATCCTCAAACTTTCCTAGAGTCCCTTGACCCTATCATATTCTACCACTAATTCTTTTTGTTTCCATGCATTACATAATCTCCTATTTCACTCCTTAAGGGCAGGAACTATGTAGTTTTTCATCATTCATTCAAACAACAGGCATTTATTAAGTGCATACAATGTTCCAGGCATGATAGTAGTTATGAGAGATACAAAGACAAAAATGGTCCCTGTTCTCAGGGAGCTTAGTCTATCAGAAGAAATAACACATAAACTACTAAATAAATACGATGTTAATTTCCAGGAAGGAGATTACTTACTATTAGCTTGGGAGAGGTGAGGGGAAACCAGGTAGGAGGTGATGCTTGAGCTGATGTTTGAAGGGAATAAGGGATTCCAAGAGATAAAGAGAAAGCATATTCTAGGCTTGGGGTGGAAACTAGTACCAAAGTATGGAGATGGGAGAATGCTGGATATCACCAACATTAAGTGGGCCTGTTGGAACACAGAGTATATGAAAGGAAGGAAGTTGTAATAAGCTTAGAAAGTCAAGTTGGAAGCAGGAAGTTAAAGAAGGGCTTTAAATGCCAAAAGAGAGAAGAGTTCTCAACACCTCACCCAATTGCCTTGCACATTTGGTACGTAATAAATATGCATTGAATTGAAATCCAGGTGAAGTCCTATCGTCTGATTTTTTCTCAGAAATATTCTTGGACTGATTAGGGAATATCTTAATAGATTTTATAGATTTAGGTCCCTCCAGAAAGAACTTCTCTGCCCATTTACCGCATTTAGCACTTGCTTTGGCTTTTATATTCTACTACGCACTATGGCTAGTATATAGCTAGTATATCTACATAGATAGACACACATACATTCTCTCTCTCTCTCTCTCTCTCTCTCTCTCTCTCTCTCTCTCTCTCTCTGTGTATCCTATTTCCTCTTGCTAGATTATAATCCTTATGAAGGTAGGGATCATGTCTGATTCATCTGCGTCTCTACAGTTTGTCCAAGTGAATTAGATTTCAGATAAGTCTTCTAAATTCCTATTGCTTTCCAGTGCCTATAAATGCAGACACATGAACCAAACTCAAAGCCCCTTAAAATGCAACGTATGGCCTTACTTTGTTTTTAAAGTAGCGTGAATTTTAAAACTTCTAGCCATCACTCCTCCAAAGGGACAAGGTCAAAACTGGATGAAACTTTTCTGGTCTCTTTTATCACCTTCAAGAACCCTATCCTTTGTACCCTGGACCATCAAACCAATCCATTCTCAATTGTACAAAAGTACAAGTACACAGTAGCACAGAGTGGAAAGGGACCACCTCTACGTGACCAGGAATCCTCTCAACAGCCTCTCTGACAATTCTCTAACCTTTGCCTAAAGATTCACAATGATGAGGAACTCATAATCTTCAAGGAAGTCCAACACACATTTAGAAAGCCCCCTTTTAAAATTTGGATCCTAGGTCTTTTACCTATCACAACCTCCTCCTCTTTCGATTTAATTTCCAGTTTCAAGGACATAATTAGTTAAAATAGACAATTTCCATATACATATATATATATATATATATATATATATGCTTATGATTGTGCCTTATTTATCTTGAGTTTAAGAAAATTAAGTACTGCACTCCACATAAGTGAACTTTCCAAATAAATGAAACAATCCTTAAAAGCTGCAAGATTTACTTTACTTTGTTTGGAAGCATCATAGGTTCAGAGGAAATCTCTCCAAGACATTACATAATTTTGTTATTCCTTAAAAACAGGACAAATGAAACTGTTTATCCTTAAGAAATTCAAAATAATACCTTACAAAGGATGCCAAGTCCATCAAGACAATAAGCATTTATTAAGAGCCAGGTACTTCGTGCAAAGCACTGAGGATACAGAAAAAAAGCAAAAACAATCCTTACCATAAAGGAGCTCCTAGTCAAATGGGAGAGACAACACATAAACAACTAGGTACAAATAAGATGGATACAGGATAAATTAGAGATAATCCCAGAGGGAAGGCACTAGCATTAAGGGGAACTGGAAAAGATTTCTTGCAGAAGGTGAGATTTTTGTTGATATTTAAAAGAAGTGAGGAGACAAAGATGAAGAAGAAGAGTGTTCCAGGAATGGGGGACAGCCAGAGAAAACACTCACAGTTAGGAAATGGAGTGTCTTGTTAGAGAAACAACGAGGAAGCCATGGTCCCTGAATTGCAGAATATGTGGAGAGGAGTAAGGTGTAAGAAGACAAAGGGAAGAAGAGGTCAGATTCTGAAGGGCTTTAAAAGCCTAAAAGGACTTAAAATTAATCTTGGAGGAGACAGAAAGCCACTGGATTTTATTGAGTAGAAGGGTGACAAAGTCAGACCTGTGCTTATGGAAGATCATTTTGGCAGCTGAATGGAGGAAGGACTCGAGTGGGGAGAGATTTGGAGTTGAGAGACTAAGCAGAAGGTATTGCAATAGTCCAGGCACAGATGAAGAAGGCCTTCATTAGGGTGATGGCAATGTCAGAAGAGAGGAAGAGGCATAAAGGAGAGAAATTACAAAGGCACAATCAACAAGATTTGACAACTGATTAAATATGGGGGACAGCTGAGGGTAAAGAGTCAAGGATGAAAGTTAGGTTGTGAGTATGGGTCAATAGGAAAATTGTGGTGTCCTTGACAATAACAGGGAAATTTGGAAGAGAAGTGGGATTGGTAGGAAAGATAATGAGAGTTCAGTTTTAGACTGAGATTTCCTATGAATCTATGATGCTTTCAAATAAAGTAAAATAAATCTTGCAGTTTTTAAGAATTGTTTCATTTACTTGGAAAGTTCACTCATATGGAACATAGTGCTTAATTTTCTTACACTGAAGATAAATAAGGGGTGTATGTGTGTGTGTGTGTGTGTGTGTGTGTGTGTGTGTGTGTGTGTGTGTGTGTGTGTGTGTGTGTGTGGTATAAGATGTCTATGGTACATCCAGTTCAGCACGTCCAATAGGCACTTGGAGATAAGAAATGGAAGGTCAGGAGCGAGGTTAGGGCTGGATAAACAGATATGACAATCATCATCATGGAGATTTTAATTAAATCAGTGGGAGTTGATGTGACCACCAAGCAAACAGTATACATGGAAAAGAGAAGAAGGAAGGGCCAGTACAGAGTTTTGGGGGAACATTCAGGGTTAACAGATGTGATCTAGATGAAGATAAAGAAAAGGAGAATGAGGAGGTTGGAGAGGTAAGAGGAGAACCAAGAGAAAACAATGTCACAAAAACCTAAAGAAAAGAGAGTCTCAAGAAGAAGAAGACAGTGTACAAGGATGTAGAGGGTTCAAGAAGGATACAAGAAAATACTATTAGATCTGGCAATTAAAAGAACACTGGTAACTTCGGAGAGAGTAGATTCAGTAGAATGATGAGGTCCAGTTGAAGAATCATAGAATCTCGGAGAGTATTCATGCTTTAACTAATAGCTAAACTAGATAACTTCTAAGGTACGTTCCAGTGCTAATTTGATAAGTTAAAATAGACAAAGAGGAGAACTTAATAAAGTTCTTCAGTGATTTAGTGGAAAAAGCAATGGATTTAGGAGTCAGAAGGCCTGAGCATGTGCCCTGTCTTTTACTATTTGGTGCCCTTAGGCAAATTATTTAAACTCTCCAAACCTCAGTTTCTTCATCTGGAAAATGGGGATAATACCTGAAGCACCTACCTACTTCATTGGATTGTGAAGAAGAAACGAGATAATGTAGGTAAAGAACATTATAAATCTTAAAGTGCTCCCTAAATGCCAGTTATCACTAATTTGAAGAGATAAAAAGAAGAATTTTATAAAAATACTCAGTGGTATAACAGAAATAGCAAAACACCGAGTGAGAGGCCCTGGAGTTTGAGTTTCCCTCTACTACTTACTAGCTGCCTGACCATTGGCAAGCCACTTAATCTCTCTAAGGCTCAGCTTCCTCACCCATGAAAGTATTTGGAGGGTTGTTGGGAGGGTCAGATGAAATAATGGCTACATAGGTCTCAATAGCAGCAAAGTACTATGTAAATGTAAGCTGTTACTTACATCATTACTACAGATACACAGCATTCACAGGCAAATGAAAAATACCTTTGTTATTGTCTTCACTCATCAAAGAAATAATGCAACAAATGATTGCTCAGAAAGACAGGAATCTACCATGCCACTCAATGAGAGGCTGCTGAGTTCTTACAAGTCCCTGTTACTCTAGGGTGACTGTCACTGCTGCTCTGAGCCAGACAATGTGGTATAAGAGCAGATGGCAGACCCAAATCTGTCAACACAGAGGAGTGTGACAAAATATTTTGCTTCACAGTTGTGTTAAAAGCATCATCGTACATGTGTATCCACACCCCCTCCCAAGGTTTTAATTCAGCTCTGTCTGGCATCATAGTAATGGTCCATGCTTTCACCATGTGTTATTTTAACACATTGTATTTGGTTTTAATCCAGGACTAATATCTCAGAGCCAAGTTTTTTACATCTTCAGTATTACCACCCTAGCACTCGGTGTTCTATGCAGAAAGAGAGAGCTATGATATGGGAAGGGGAATTTGATAAAGAAAAGTAGAAGCAAAGGCCAGAGAGAGGAAAAATAATTAAAGACTCAGAACTGGAAGGAATTTTATAGATAATCTAGTCCAAGGGTAGGGAACCTGCAGCCTGGAGGCCACATGTGGCCCTCTAGGTCCTCAAGGTCAGTCCTTTGACTGAATCCAAACTTCACAGAACAAATCCCCTTAATAAAAGGATTTGTTCTGTAAAACTTAGACTAGATTCTAATCTACACCATCTCCCACCTGGAACATGATTATCCACTACAATAACTTAGACAAGTGGTCCCTCAATCTCCGTTTGAAACTCCTCCAACAACAGGGAGATTGTCACTTCTTCAGGCAACCCATTCCTTTTTGGGACATCTCTGCTTAGAAAGTTCACATACATCTTTTCCCTGTTTCTTCCATTTATTGGTCATCATCTTATCCTCTGCTGTACTACAGCTATTACAAGAATAAGTCTGCTCTTGGTGATCATGCCCTTCCCTTGAGTCTTCTCCAGGCAAACATCACCACATTCTTCTGAATTCAATTTTTTGAGATATCTTCTCTTCTGGGGAAACTGCACTCATTCTTATAACTATGGCTGCTCTAAGAAGGTTATGAAGTGGAAACAGCACTTGACTGGTAAGAATCTGAAGCAGATCCATCTCTGTCTCTCTCTCCCAGTTACTTACCACCTGCACTGACTTGGGTCAAGCAGCTTCACCTTCTCAGTTACTGGTTCCTCATCTGTAAAGTGGAGCACACTAACACCACCTACTCTACAGGGGGGAGTGTAAACAAAGTGCTTTGAAAGGCACTGTATAAAAGTGAGGGGCTACCAGTAATAAATTTGTTATTAAAATGTTATTGTAACAACAATAATTTTTAGACAAGCAGCATTTCTTCATAGGGCTTATGAAGACTTGACTGGTTTCAAGTTTCAAAATATCAAACTATTCTAGCCTCACTTTTAATTTCTTGGAAAAACCGTGAATTGAGAGAATGTTTGAAAATGCCACTTCATGGACATCTAACTTCTTGAAGATACCAGTGCAGATGATAACTTGAGCCTAAGCCATTTTCATAAGCAGAAAGAGAAGTCACATCCAGCTTATGTAGTATAAGCTCAGAAGAAGAATGAGGAGGTGAGAGGAGTGGTCTTTAGGCGGTTCACTACAATGCCTCACTCTATGGCACTGACAGAGAGACATAAATTGCCTACGTGCACCTAATAACTGACAGGAACAAACTGGGCATCAAATAAGGGGATTTGCCAAAACCTAGAAAACTGGGGAATACATGCCTAGTTATACCAAATGACCTTACTTCACTTGGAGCTAACAGTGTTCTTGCTTCACACTGCTCTAATGAGCTAATTACACATTGTTGATATCAGTTATTTATGTTAGACTACTAGGCTGCTACCTCTGTATCCTTGCCTTATCAAAACTTTATACAACCCACTGTCTTGCTCTTGCCTACTTACTGCTCTTCACACACAACTGTCCTTTCCCCTGCCTCTCTATGTTTTCAGTGATTGTCCCCTATGCCCAGAATGCCTATCAGAAAAAAAACCAAAACAGTCAATGACAGCAATCCCTTCAGACTCAAAACAGTGTGGAAGCTCCAAGAGAAAGAGGTATGTCACTAAGAGGTGGGACAAAAATCCTCTCTGCCTTGCGTAAACCTGTTTTTCACCTGTGGGTGACTCATCAAAAGTGGCAGAACCAGAAAAGGGGCAGACAAGCCTCTAGGAGAAGCTTCTCCATCCGCTATCTGATTACAAATGCCGTTTGTTTTGCTGAAGATCTTCTAATCATAAGTAAGAACTGCTTCACTCTTTGTATTTGTGTCCACAGTGCCTGGCACATAAGAGGTGCTTAATAAATACTTGCTGACTAAATCAATAGAGTATTTCTGAGGCTCTGCCTCCAAATACTACCTAGATCCTTTTTGAGAAGATCTTGTTGAAATCCCTGGAGGTATTCAGAGAGAGGTGCAATGACCACTTACTGTCTGTCACAAATGGGTTGTGCCAAGCTTCTACGATATTTTAAAATACACCACACCTAGAAAGCAGGTATCTGTTGAACCCTCTTTTCATAGTATTATTTAGCACAGCACAATATATGGGCAGGTCCCCTAATAGTCTCTCCTGCTCCCATTATTGCTTTCAGAATATAAAAAAGGAATTGGCAAGGGGGGCAAATTAGACAGGATAGCAGAGGTAGAGTGGAAAGAACCCTGGACTAGAAAGTAGGAGAGAACAGGATTCTAGTCTCAGCTCTGCCACTCAGTAACTGGCTATGTTATGGATAAATCTCTTTCTTTCTGGGCCACAATTCTCAATCTGTAAAGTGGGAGGGCTGCACTAAGTGATCTACAAGCATTCTTTCAGCTCTGTAAATCTGAACCTCTAAGGTCAGCACTAAAAATCTATGATGTCATGAATAGTTGATTTGTAGACAGCTGTAATCCTTTTCCTTCCCCTTAGTTATTACAGATAACGAAGAAACAAAGAGAGGAAGTGCATTCAGAACAAACCTCCATCGAGGCTCCGAGAGGCCCGTTTGCTTGCCGTACGCTCGAAGTGTGGCGCGGGCCTGTCAATAAGAGCGCTGGCTTGTCTGGTCTGGGCCTGAGTCCGGCCACTGTAACGAAATTTGGATCCTAGGGCAAGGAACCTGCTCTTGGGGATGGTTTCGGTGGATGTTAGTCTGGAAGAAATATACACATGCATATACTGTACTTAGCTTCCCGATTTCAAGACCCAACTATTGTACACAGCAGAATATTTCAAAAGGAAAAAAATGGTCCACAACATTTCTTATAACTTGAAGTAGACTAAGAAAGAGGTTATCAAAGTAATTCTGTCAGTTCTCAAACATGCTTTATTAGGGGTCTGTAACATATGAGAACCAAGAATAATCATGTTTAATGCCCCAAGCTCAAGTAACACTCAAGATATTATTCAATATATCAATTCAAATTTAATAAAATCTTGTACCATCTACACACACACACACACACACACACACACACAGACTTTTTTCTGTGTGATTCTTAAGTGTTAACGACCCAAAAAAAAAGATAAGATTTGAAAGGGTGGCATGACCTAGTAGGAAGAACACTGGACTTAGAATCTAAGACCTGGAGTGAGCACTGGCTCCTATCACCTGCCACCTGTGTGACTGCGGGCCAGTCATTCAACCTCTCTAAGCCTCTAACAAGTTGGGACCACAATACCTCTACTAGGGAAAGCACTCTGTAAAACTGCAAAGCTCTATGTGAAATTAAATTGATATTATTATTGGGATCTTCCCGTTAGGCTACCTAATCCAACTAGGGTTTAAATCAAATAATTTCTGTGAGAAGGAAAAATAATTTCATGCAGCACATATTTCTCTCCTTTTCATAATTTGAAATGAATGACTAAATTATTATATATGTACTCCCATTGACACAACAGACTTATTTAAGTATCATTCTACAAAATGACCAATCACCTATAGCCAAATTTCACGTTACAATACATTAAAGTATTCAAGTGCATTCTTTTCTACTACTCTTCCCTCTCTTTTCTGAAACCCTACAGTTTTCTTGGTTGGATTAAAGCCAAAAAAGGATGGGAATATAAAGGAAAGAAATCTATAATGTCAATAGCTAATATTAGTCCCAGATTGGGTCCAACATTTGCTTTCACAACTTATTCTGTAATGGAAATTGAAAATGACATATTTCCCCCTGTATTTTATCCCTGTCCACTGTTTCTATGGAGATGAATAGGATATGAAAACATAAAATGGGATGATAACAGCACCTACCTCCTAAGGTTGCTGTGACAGTCAAATGAGATCATATTTGTAAAGTGCTTTGCAAACCTTAAACCACCATATAAATGCTGACTATTAATAGTAGTTATACTATTCATGTATGAAGAACCAAGTGATAAGGTCTCCTTACTGGCTTGCCTGCCGACCCCCATGACAGGAGGCAGACTCTCTGTGTGTAAAAAAGTGCTAGAATCATGAAAACTGAAGAGGAAAAAAAAAGCTTTCCTGGCTTTTTCTGACTCTCTAGAATAGTTAGGCCTCAGGGCCAGGGGCTGTGTGAAGTTTCACTCTCACCATGCAACAACCACCAGGTTCACACAGAGTAGACTTCAAAAGCCACAGGAGGGGAGAGAGAGGTTAGTGAGTAGAAGCCCTCATGGCTAAAGTACACTAACTAGTTCCTGCCTCCTATTGTTTTCTGGTCCTGCCTCAGAACTACAGAAAATGCTACTGAGCTCCCAGGAAAGAAAGGGAGCTGTCTTCTTCCACCCACCCACAGATCATGTAAATATTGAGGCATGTCTGCCTGAGTACAATTTGGCTTATTTTGGATTACTGAAGATGACCTTATCCAAGCTGGATAGAATATCACCCAAACATACAAAGAAGCATTGTGCCAACATTTAATTACTGTCAAATTAAATTACAATAAGAGAATTTAAAAGGAGAACATTTAGCCTTGGGAAATACTTAAGTGAGAAATATACCTGAAAAATGTATGATGCTCTACACATACTTTCCACAATTTCTTAGCTGCTCGATAACTGGGAAGTTTGAATCCAATGGTACTTTCGTATTGTTCATGCTATTTAAAAAACAAAAAAACAAGATATCAAATATTGAGCACCCTCCTAAGAACAGTTCTGTATCCACAGAAATACAGGCTTCTGAAATCCTATACTGCTCCAAATACAGACCATCCCAGAATACAGGGTGATACCACTAGCCATACCAACTAAGGTGGAAGGGATCTACTCCAACCCATACTAAACAACCATTCCCTTTACAACATCTCCAACAAGTAGCTCACCAGCTTTCACTTGAAAACTCCCAGGGATGGCGAACTCCCTGCCTCCTAAGATAGTACATTTCCCTTTTGGACAGCTTTTCTTTAAGGAGCTTTTCTTTACCTTAGCCAAAATTTGCCTCTCTACAATTTCTGTGTCTCCTTAAAATGAGAACCCTTTGAAGGAAAAAATATACAAGTATAGAGTGAAAAATGTGCTATTAGATGTTATATTAAAGCTTTAAACTCAGGACAGATTTTGGGTGGAAAGTGTGGGCTATATTCAGACCACCATGACACTATTACAAAGAATGTTATCAGTTTAGGGACATAGGATATCAAGTGAAAATTTTAAGCTTGCTAAAAGTTAAGAAATTTATTGAAAGGAAAGCTTTTTTCCTATTAAGATAGGATGCTTCCTTCCACAACTACAAAGTCAAACAGCATACTTTATTTTTTTTGTACAAGGAAGGGGGGAAGCCTCAATTATACATTTTATTTCAGTTCATTCTTGTAGGTGGGAAGATGGGCTGCTGCATGGATCAATTATAGTTCATTCCTGATTGGTACGGAAGTTATTATTATCAAATATATGTATTATACCAGGGTAGAGAACCTGTGGCCTCTAGGTCCTCCAGTGTGGCCCTTTGACTGAATCCAAACTTCACAGAACAAATCCTCTTAATAAATGGATTTACTCTATAAAACTTGGATTCAATCAAAAGGCCGCACCCAAGGACCTAGAAGGCCACAGGCAGCCTCAAGGCCGAAGGTTTCCCACCCCTAACTCTGCATTTTCTCTCTCAGCCTTGTTTGTTTTGAGGCCACCTGACTTCACTCAATGATCAGTGCATGGAACACTAGGGGATTCTCAGAATCAGTCACTGTAATTACTCATTAGCAATTCCAGTGATGGTATCTGGTTTGGAAATTTAGAATAACGACCTAAATCAGGTTCTTTTATTTATATGTATAATATGTACATGTATGTTTTCCCTTGTTTCCATTAACACATGTATTGAAGGGGTGGCTGCTAATGTTTTTCATTCCACTTTCACTGAAGGCACCTACACTATGCCTAGATGAATGAAAAAAGCTGCCTAGCCTGCCTCTGGCTTCTTCCTTCTCCAACCCATCTTACATAAAGAGAATTTTATGATCATCTGTCATTTTAATTATGGGACTTGTCAGAAAGCTAAGGCTTCCAAATGCCTGATTTACTGAATTAAATGTTTAATTATGCCTATCATAAGTTTTTCAGTATTTTAACTATCTACATAATACCTGCATATTTGTTTTTACCAATTTAACAATACCTAGCCACAAAGGCAAGTTCATTTAGGCGATGAACAAATGTTTTAATGACAACATGGCATGTTAGAATGGAAAAAAGCAATGGGCTCTGGGTTGGGAGCCCTAGGTTTTAGCTCTGGCTTAGACACTCTGGACAAGTAAAGGTCTTTTGGGACCTCAGTTTTCTCATCTGTAATATAAGGTGCTGAACTAGATTCTCCAAGTCCCCTTAGGCTTTTAACATTCTATGAATCTATGCTTTGCCTATTATCTCTTTATCTTTCTCAGTGCTTAAAAGTGCTTTTTTTTAAACTGTAGAAATTTTAAAAATACTTTAAAATGTTTGAATACTGCACAACAAATACAAAAATACTGACATGTTAGACCAATTTTCACCAGCAGGTGGTGCTATGTACAAAAGAATGAATCATTTACCCCATAAACTGAAAATTGCCCAAAAAACAATACTGGGTCATGGGGTGTGTGACTTCATACACAGTTATATCAAAGCCAGAAGTAATATGGCTCCAAAACTGAGTGATTCTTCTTAAGAGTTCAACAGGGATACAATACTAAGTTAGAGTTACTAGGAGAAGACTCACATATTCATGAAATTGGAGGATAGCAGAATGATTAGATAATTGCAATTCTTAAACAATCCAAATACAGTTCAGCTTAGCATCAGTGTCAAATTACCTTGGCACCATGTTTTTACCAGCATAAGCAGAAAACAAAACTGACTAATGTGTATTTCTTAGAACAGTATCTGCTACATAGTAAGCCCTTAATAACTGCTTGTCGATTTGACCTGTCTGGGCTCCTCTACATGGTAATGGACAATTTTCCAACAACCAGTAGAATGGGCAGTGTTTTCAGAGTTAGAAGCTCTGAGTTCAAATCCTGACTCTGCCACTTACTATGTCTGTTGTGTCCCTTCTCTGGGCCTCAGTTTCTTCTTAAGTAGTTTGGACCAGAGGATCATTCAAGTCCCTTCCATCTCCCAGCATGACAAGGCCAGTAGGAAGGAAGAGGAAGAGAAGCACCAAGGAGGCTAAGCATGCAATGAACAATCAGCTGAATGACTAATGAGGGGGAGAGGGGACAGGAGGCCATGGTGAACCTGGAATGGAGAAGCATCATCTATGCTAAGCCTATGAGTGGTCTGAGGGAAAAACCAAGGACCCCATACCTCTCCAGGTCGAATCTTGATAAAAAAGCTGCTACGCTTATAGGAAATCTTCAGCACTTTGGGCCAAGGAAAGCGGTTAATTCTCAGCTTGTCTTTGTAAACAAGAAGGCCACTGGAACACACTCCCAGTGTGATGTCCACTCCCTCCAAGTCCTGAAAGAGTAGCAAATATCAACATCTCAAACGGGCACAAAAAACCATTTATCTATGTTACACACAAGAGATTTTCCTAAAATGCCATTCTGACCAGGTCACACCATTTCTAAATAACCCCCAGTGGTTCCCTATCACATATGAACGCTTTTGTCATCTAAAGCCATTCCCAACCAGGCCCCATCGCACTGTTCCCACTCTACCATGCACTATGCCCCTCCACACACTCTAAGACCCAGCCAAACTGCCCTTCCTGCTGTCTTGTCCCACATAGCACCATCTCCCACCTCCGTGCCTTTGTCCTAGCTGTACTCCTTGTCTAGAACACACTCCCTCTTCAGCACTGCCTCTTAGAATACCTGGTTTCTATGAAAACAATGCTCAAGAGCTGTGTTCTCCATTAGGTCTCTCTTGGTCACCTCCTGACTGTTAGTGCCTCCCCCCTTCACCCCATTATCCTATATCGGCTTTGCAAATTTTTTAATATCCTTATATATGTATATGCTATCTCACCCCACAGAAAGTGAGCTTCTTGGGGGGCAGGGACCATTTTGCTTTTTCTTTGAAACCCCAGTTTTTAATGACCGCCTGGCACATAGCAGATCCTCAAGGGTTTGTTGGTAGACTGATTTTGTATAGCTGCATTTACTCTATGTATGTTTATATGTGTACATGTTAACTTCTCACTGGAATGCAAGCTCCCTGGGGGTAGGGAATGCTTCCTTTTTGTCTTTATGCCCCCAGTGCCTGGTAAAGAATCTAGCATAGAGCATAATAATAATAGGCTAGCATTTTAAAAGGCTTTAAAGTTTGCAAAGCACTTTATAAATATTTTCTTATAGGATCCTCACAACAACCCTGGAAGGAAGGTGTTATTATTATCACCATTTCATAGATGAAGAAACTGAGGCAGACAAATGTTAAGTGACTTGCCCTGAGTCACACAGCTAGTGTCTACAACTAGGATTTGAACATAGGTCTTCCTGACAGCCACCTAGCTACCTATATAGCAAGTGCTTAATAAATACAAGCTGATCTACTGATTGAAAAAAAAAAAAGAATGCTACCTTAAATTCTAGACCTCCAAAAACCATAAGCAAACCTTCAGTATTTGCAAGGAAATGGTGGTGAAGGGTCAGGGTCTGTGATTTCATCAGTGTGAGGAACTTCCAGTGTTTAAAATCCCTCCCCACTGATATAGATCAGCAGCTCCCCCATAATTTAAAATCTCAGAGAGCTGCCCAGGGCAAAAGCCCATGTTCTCCTCCATGGTCACACAGCCCACATGTTATCAGAAGCAGGACCTGAAATAGTTCTTGCTGACTTCAAGGTCAGGCCTCTTTTACTTTTTTTTTTATTTTTTATTTGTTATTTTTTGGCTTTTTTAGGCAATTGGGGTTAAGTGACTTGCCCAGGGTCACACAGCTAGTAAGTGTCAAGTGTTTGGTCTGAGGCCGGATTTGAACTCAGGTCCTCCTGACTTCAGGGCCGGTGCTCTATCCACTGCGCCACCTAGCTGCCCCGCCAGGGCTCTTTTATATGTGACACCATACTGCCTGTCACTTCTGATAATACTTCCCATTAAAGCTTAAAAGACAAAACCAACTTGTAGAGATATACACAACCATAGTACTTTGAATAAAGCAGGAGCTTATCAAAAGAATCTTCTACTAATAATAAGAAGAGATTAAACTCAAATTTATATTTCACAGGAGTAGTCTACAGAAGAATAACTCTGAGTACACACATCACATCCTCAGGCACCTGCTGCCTACTCACAGCACAAAGACTGTGAGAGCTTTTGTTATATATGGTGTCCCAAAAAAGTCTTAGTGAAGCTTTAAGCTTTAACAGCATATCATGCTATTAAATAAATTTAATAATTATCAATACAATCTTTGTACTCTAAGCAAGTAGCAATACTTCATTAATTTCTACCTTTTAAATACTTGCACAGCTTTGGTAACAACACTAAGTTCACATCTTAAATCATTTGCTATCAGATTAGTTTTTCATTTCTTTATTCAGCAAACATAATGAATGCCTAACATATACAAAGTTCTGTGCAACAGATTGTGTTGGATACAAACATGGACAAAGCAATTCCTACACTCAAGGAGTTTATATTCAGGAGGTAAAAAAGATAAAATACATGCACAAATATTAATGATGACTCAAGTTTCTAAAGAATTTCCAAGTTTACAAGGCACTTCCTACAACAAATGCAATAATTTATGTCATACAAGTATCATCATCCCCAATTTTCAGACGAAGAAGCTGAAGGCTAAAAAGGTGACATGCCTGGGGTTACACTTAGCACAGAGCTGGGACTAAAATCCAGCTCATCTCAATCCTAGATTAATGATCTTTCCAATGTGATGTTGCAACAATACAAAATAGAACTTGACAGGGACATAAATGAAGTACAAAGTACCTTCTCCATGGGACTCAGAGAGACTCTGTTTTGTCTCTTGTCCAATAAAATGTTGAAATATTTACATATCTGATCCACTAACTGGCTTGAGAAATCATTGTTACAATAAGTTAAGAAAAACAATGATAAGAAGAAAGTATTCAATTTCAGAAAAGCGATGTGGTATAACTGAAAGAACTCAGGACTTGAAGCCAGACCCAGTCCCAACATTTAAGAGCTATAAGATCTTAGCCAGATTACTTCAATGCCTCAGATTCCTCCACTGTCCAATGTGCTGGTCTTTATCTAGAACATCCTTTTTATTTTGGCTTACAAAACATACAACATTTATCCTAACTGCCTGAGTGATCTCTCACAGGAATAAAGCCCATCAAACTTTTAGGAAAATAACCTAGTTTTGGTATTCTTAGAGCTATAAGAGAGACCCTGGGTGTCATCTACTCTGAGCTACTTGTCATTATAGATAATGTAACACCACTAATTTGTGGCATGGATGCTTTTCATCACTTTTAAATACAAATATAACTGTCTACTATAAAGACTCTATCATTAGAGCAAAACATCATCAACACTACATAAATCAATGTATTGTATCTCTTAAGGCTGTAATCTCTTTGGCAGTGGGGATTTCATCATATATAATGGAGAAAACAATGGATTTGGAAGCAGTAGAAAAGTTTGAATGTAGGCTTCACAAGTGATTAGCTGTGTTACTTTGACCAAGTCATTTAACCTTGTAAGATGGAGATAATCCCTGTACTATCAACTACACAGGGATGGTGTGAGGAACAAATCGATTCTCAATTCTGATTTTTCATGGATATGTATTCTTGCCCCACCAACACTGAATACAAGTGCTCTACGTCTTAGCAGTTTTCACCTTTGGACGAAAAGCTTCTTTGAACTCAATAAAGTTGTTCTCAGGATGACAGACACATAGTCTATAACTGTGATCATATTCAAAGCTTAGTAGGAACTGCCAGAGTTTGCACTCTACTAATGTTAACAGAGCCTTCAAGTACCAAGGGCTCCTCCACAAAATAAGGGATGGGAGGAAGACTTTGCAGGATGTTTACCTACAGGGTTTTGTAGCAGTGAAATGGTACATAAATATAAACTTATTTGCATTACTTTTTAAAAATACATTTTTATTGCTATATTATCTTTCTACATCACCTATCCCAATTTCCCTATGTATCTCTCCTTACCACCTGTAAAGAGCCATCCCTTATAAGAACAAATAAAAAAGAGGGAGAAAACCAGTTCAGCAAAAGTACCAAGATTCAAACAAGTCTGACATTCTAGGCATTATAGATGCATTCATATTAATAACACTGATTAGGGGCAGTATTTTCGGGTATAATTTAAAACCCTAAAAGGCTCAATACTCCTCCTCAGGTATCACAGTAAAAAGTAAGGGAGACATTATGTATGGAATCACCCTCTACTTAGATATCTGACCTCCCTCGCAACACTGTAAGTTACCTGAAGGACCATAGCTTATTCTTTTTCACAGCTTGTATGTTTTAGACACTTATTAGGCCAAAGTTATCATTACCTTTGCTTTATGAAGGTCAACTCCATACATGGACAGCTTTTTGGCATTTTCAAGAAATTCCAGGTCAGCTTGGGCTGGAGTCATAGACCTTTAAAGAGAAAAAAGGCCAAATATTATCATTTATGTAATGAATAATAATAGCTTGCATTTATATACTGCTTTTAGGTTTGCAAAGCACTTCACAAATACTGTCTCATTCAAACCTCACGACAACCCTGTGAGGTAAGAGCTATTTACTGTCACAAGTTATAGATGGGGAAACTGAGGCCCTGAGGTTAGGTGACTTGTCTATATAGCTAGAAAGTATCTGAGCCTACATTTGAACCCAAATCTTCCTAACTCCAAGTTAAGTATTCTATCCACTATAGCAGTCTGACTACAAATGAGCTCTTTTTCAGGTAAAGATACCCAGAGACATAGATATCATACATACATACACACATACATATCCCCTCCATTGAAGTCTATAAAAATATTCTGCAAATCTTAATGCACTATATGAATATGAATTATCATCATTACTACTCTAGTGCCTCAAGGTGGTGTGGAAGTGACCTCTGGATTCTCAAGAGCTATGTCCACAGGACAGAAGTGCTGGCAGTTCCTACCCAAGCTAACAGAGGATGAGAAATGAGCCACTGTCCAAGGACCAGCCCAGCTAAGTGTGCAGAGCTTCAGTATGAAAAATCTGTATACCAGGTGATGAATTTCTAAATCACAGCAACACTAAGACATGGCTGTGTTGTGATCTGCATCAATGGAAAGAGCTCCCACATTGATGTGGTCATATATCTTTTGAAGTACTAGAGAAACAGATAATGAAATCTATCCACATAGGATAATACTAGGAAGTGGCAGCTTCTTGTGTAACAAGAATTCTAAATTTAAATTCTAAATGAGTTCTAAAGAACTGGAATTTTTTAAATGAATTTCTAATATCTTTTGTTTTTATCATCACCTATATTTCTCATGGTATACCATCACCCATCTCCTCCCTCTCTCACAATAGAAGAAAAAATTTTAAAATTCTGCAAAACTAATCAATACATCAACAAAGTTCAACATATCTACTACCCCACTCCTATAGCTCCCCACTTCAAAAAACAGATGGAGGGGAGATATTGTCTCATATCTCTTCTTTGGGACCTAAGTCAGTCATTATAAATTTCAAAGCATTCAGCATTATTTTGTTTTTTTGTTCTTTCCATTTACATTACTCTAATCCTCACAGATACGTTCTTTTCCTAGCTCTGCTTACTTCACTTTGCATGAGTTCATGTAAGTCTTCCCCATGCTTCAATCATTTCTTACAGCACAATAATATTTCATCACATTTACGGCACAACTTGCTTAGCCATTCCCCAACTGATGGGCATCTACTTTGTTTCCAGTTCTTTGCTATCACAAAACAGTGCTGCTATAAATATGTTGGTTCTATGGGGCCTTTCTTGTCATTGACCTCCTGCAGGTACATGCCTAGCAGTGGAATCTACATTTAAATAACTGGAATTTTCATTAGAAAGAGATCTTAAAAAGGAATACTGACAAGCAACTATCCTGCAAAAACTCTTTTTTTTTTTTTAAAAGATGATACCTACTAGAGGATTTCCTTAAAGTTTACTGACCCTTATCAGTCCTGGCTTAGACTCTACTGCACCACCTACTAGTGTTTCTTCTTACAAAGAAAGCAAGCAAATTGAATCCACCGAGGGTGTGTGCAATTTCCAATATCCTCTTAGCTTTCTTTTATCTCAATACTCCTGAATTGAGTTATTCTGGGAATTAAATGTGAGGGCAGCTGAAGTTACTTAAAAGGACTCTTAATGGGGGCAGGCGGGATGAAAGGAAAATTTTCTGGTAACATATGGTATCCTGCCCACTGATCTAAACAAAACAACTCTGGTTAATAGAAGCATCCAAATAATGGGGCCCTCTCTCCTTGCTATTGAGATGTCCTCATTAGCAGGCAAATACTGAATTAGATTTGTTTGAAAACAATCAGTCTTATTGTATAAACACTCCACTTTGACAGTCTTTGCTTCCTCTGTCAGTTTACTTGCAGCTGCAAAGTACGCAGAAGCCACTAGGTTTTTCAGTGCCATGACAAAATCATCACTCCAGTGCAGTGCAATTCAAACCAATCAAATATAATTTCTTCATAACAATAATGCAGCCACTCCCCTAAGGAAAAGCTATGTAAATGCCTGTTTCCCACAGGACCACCCCAAGCGACATAAAGCAGTAGTGGCCTCTTTCTTTAACCAGAGAGTCTCTGTCAAAACCCATCTGTCTTAAGCCTCATTAAAAAGAACAAAGTGTTCCCAGAGAAGGAAAAGGAAAATACCTCAGGAGAGATGCATCAATTTACTAATGACTTGGCCATCCTGAATGATCTTCCGCTACATTCTAAGGAATTATACTTGGATTTTATTTATTAATTGGCTACAAACAAAAGGTGCAGAAGGGAAAATAATATAGATAGGTAAAAAGAAGCCTAGGGCTGTGTGCCTTGCCCATTCCAATACAAGCTGTGAAGCTAACCAAAAGTGAAAAAAGGTGTATTTTTGGTGGCCAGAGTCAAACTGTGAAAAGCAACATGGCGTACTGGAAAGAGCCCTGTATCTTTAAGTCAGAAGACTTATATTCAAGTCCTTCTTGCTCTATTTACTAGCTAGCTATGTGACCTAAGGATTTACACCTACCAGTAAGTACCTTTCTCCCCAGGGCTAGAGCGCTCTCTAGCTGGAGAGGTAACTGGGATGCCGGTGATGCCTGACAACAGACAGAAAATACAGAAGAAACGCTAAAGCAAATTGTGCAGCTGTGATATAGGAGGAGGAGAAATTGTGCAGTGACTTGCACTGAGTGTGTGATGCTTATATTTCTAAAACCAGTATCTGTCAATTGCAATCTCCTTCCTGGATTCAGAGAAGGGCCTCACCTCTCTACTCTCAAATTGTTAGGAAGAATAAATGTCCCAAAGGAAAAAGAAACAAGGTTTCAATGGACAAAAAAAGAATCTAAGGTGTAGGAAGGGAGACCTGACCCTTGATCAGAATTCCAGAAAGTGGAAGAATATTACACATAATAATATATAACACAATAAGAAAGAAGAACCTGCTTGACATTCAAAGAATGGTATAGTTGAGACACAGAAACCATCAGGTAAGAAGCTCATCCAGCAGGGGTCCACTCTTGACTTGTTCATGAATTGGATTTCAGTGAGGCAGAGCTGCATAAAGTCATCAGCCTCACTCTCTCTTCCAGAGTCACTGAAGTCCAGCGGCAAGACAAAAGTCAAGATGAATGGCAATGGCCCACGATGCAGTGGAGGACCTTGACGTCCTCCATGTCTGACCAAGCTCTAAGGGCTCCACAGCATCTGCTTCAGCTGCCTCATGGCCATTGAACAACTGCCATTCTACTGAAGTCTTCATGTGCTTGGGAGAGACATTCCCTAACTCACTGATAGGTCTGTGGTCTGTCAGTTCCCTTCAACCTGTTTTAGCCCATCTGCTGAGACGTTTTACCAGTGGCTTCTGTGCAGGCTACAGCTTCTTGAAGTCACAGGTGAGAGTTGAGTGTCAGATGGACACCAAAGGGGGATGAGCAGCCCTGAAAAGGGCTTGGCAAGCCCTCACACCAGAGGTGCTAGTTCTCCAGAACACCCAATTAATATCCCATACTCACGGGGTGAGACAACATGCAAATAATTAAGTACACAGGAGATGCATACAGAATTTGGAACATAAGCGCCTTGATGGCAAGGACTGTCTTTTTGCTTGTAGGTATTCCCAGTGCTTAGCAGATTGCCTGGCACATATTAAATGCTTAACTTGTTAACTGAGAAGTTTCCAAGACATAAAAACAGATAACTACTCACTTTAGCTAATTCATGTCAGCACACATAATACTGACAGAAGGAACCTAAAGAGTATTACCACCATTTATGAAGTCTTGGGCAAAAAACCTGGGCAAAAGTCTTGGGCAAAAACCAGAGGGGTGCAGGATGTCCTCTCTTGCCAAGTAAAAGTATGGGATGCAGAAGAAAAAGGTTAATTTGGGAAGTGAACAGCTGGCTACTAAGGTGGTACCTGACAATAGGATTTGGACTTCTTTCTGGACCATGGCTTAAAATACAAAATTGACAAGTTCCAGGTCAGAGATGAAGCATACCTAACAAAGGCTGTTAATAATGTATTTGTTGAGTGTCTTGAAAAAGTAACCAAAAGGGCTTTAAACAAAAATGAAAGAAGCTGGAAGAAGATTGCCTGTGCTTATCCTCTCACTTTAGTTACCATCGAGGGCAGCTACACTGAGACACACGTTCAAAGGAGACAAAATCCAAGAAAAGAGCCAGTAGTAAAACTCCATGATCTTACATGCTTATTCATAAATGCCCAAAGTTTAGGCAATAAAAGAAACTCTAGAGATCTTAATGGAAGAGGGGGGCGGGAATTTGATGTCACAGATATCTTTGAGGCTTGGTGTATTGAAACCCATGACTGGCCCGTGGTTCTGGATGGGTATAGAAATAGGATAGGTAAAAGGGAAGGTAGGAAGCACTAAATACAAAGAAGGTATATTCATGTGAGGAAATCCAGGAGTCAGAGGAGGTAGCAAGACATACTATGTGGTTTTCTAAGTCAATAAGCCTCCCACAGGGAACCTTATCTATAGATTAATGGTACCTCTCCATTTTCCAATTGAGTTTGACACCAGTGTCCTAGAACAGGGGCGGGGAACCTGTGGCCTTGAGGCCACATGTGGCCCTCCAGACCCTCAAGTGCGGCCCTTTGACTGAATCCAAACTTCACAAAACTTGAAGCCACATACGGCGTCGAAGCCACAGGTCCCCCACCTCTATCCTAGACTATTAGTTGCGTGGTGGCCAGTCTATTTAAACTTTCTAATTCCCCTAATACCTACCACAGTACTCTACACATAAGAACTATATAAATGTTGTTGAATTGAATTAGAGACTAAATAGAGATCTTTGATTTTAACACTGTTATTTATACTGAAGTATAAATTATTTTATCTATTACTAACAATCTTAGAGCTGGAAAGAACCATAGAGATCATTTAATCTGAACCTATCATTTAAGAGTTGAGGAAACTGATGCCCAAGAGGCAGTGAGTTGCTCAGCTTTGCATGGGTAAGGGATTCACTATCATTAACAGTTTACTGGCAAAGACAACACTGAACAGATCTCCTAACTTCAAGTCCCCGGAGTTTCTTCTACTATACTATGCCCTCTTAATTTACTTTGAGACCATAATTTATAGCTATTACAGTAAAGATTTCCTTTCCTGGTTATAGCATTAGTTTTTAAAAGATCAAGGTGACTCCTAAGACTGGAAAATAACAGAGCCTGGGAAGAGGTTAGATGCCTTTGGAAGATTTCAGACCACCAAGATTGCACACTTAACACAGTAAATATCTCGTTCACACAGTGATTGAAAGTTCCAAAAGTACCTAAGGAAGGAGCTTTGGCACAGACTATGGATTATTAAGTAGGAGTTAAAATTATGTTTCACTGTATTTATTTATTTAGGACAAGTGGGGTTAGGATGAAGTCACTCCGAGGTGGATACAGTGTTTGCTGACAGCCTTTTAGCAAGGTTAGTTGATATTGCTAATTAAGGACTTTACTTCAAATAATTAAGAAGAGGCAACTGACAAGTTTACATACCTCCCTAGTTCTCATAAATGTAAGGCAATTAATTTGAAATCCTGATTTGCTAGGGTAAGTTTGAAGTGTTAATTATAGTTTCAAAGTGTCCCCTGGGCATGGAGCCACTAGTAAAGGCTCCACTTACATAGTCTGCAATCTGTTTTCCCTGGAGAAGGATTGTATCTTTCACTATGGAATAAAATGTGTCTTGTAGAGTCATTGCCCAGGTAAACACTTCTATGGGCTGGTAAAATGCTGTGTCCTGTGAGATAATTGAAAGTTCACAGAATCCTAGAGCTTAGGTCTGGTAAGGATCTTAGAGATCATCTAGTCCATTTCCCTCATCATTTTATATCTGAGAAAACTGTGGCTGAAAAGGGGACATAACTTATCCAACACCACAGAGTAAATAATGAAGCTGGGATCAGAAACTGGGTCTCTGCCTTCGTGGTCCAATGCTTTCTTTTATATTTTCTGTTGGTCCTTCTGTCCAGAAAAAGTTAGAGCCAGAAGGCTGGCTGCCCCCTCAGCACTTTTATCCTCCAGCCAAACTGCGCAACTTGCTGCCTTCCTCAGTCCTCTAATCCATTCCTCCATCCTATACCTTCCGACCCCTAACTCCTTTGCTCAATTTTTCTCTAGATTTAGGATGCTCTTTCTCTCCCACCATGATCCCCACCTCTCGATAGGTAAAGAATGTTACTGACAAGATACCTATGGCCCTGGACACAACCAGCAGAAATATCATCTTATAACTCACATCAGACCACTGACAAGCCTCTAGTAGAACCCAACAGCTCCAGACTATAGATTTCCCTCAGTTGTTAGTACAGAGAGATCAAAGGGAAAGTAATATTAAGAAAAAGAAAAGAAAAAGGTAAAAATTGCAAGGAATAAGATATAATTCAGGTGTTTTATAACCTTATCCACTAAACACTTGTTCTTTCCTAGGTCTAAAACTTTTGTCTCCATTATGTCACTAAATTCATTGTTTTGGTTTAAAAATAAAAACAGTTCTTTGGTCTATCTCTAAATGGTATCAAAGAAAAATATTTTCAAGGATCCATATGCATGCTGAAAAAAATCTGCAGTCAGTGGGTCTACTTCATAGGTCTCTGATATCATTCATTCATTGGCACATTTCCAGGGTACAGACTATATATAAAGCACTGTGAGTGAATATGCTGAAAAATGCTATGTAGCAAACTCATTTTGGAGAGCAATCTTGATCAATCATTTTGGGAGCAGCTACTAAACAGGATCTTGAAGTGACCCCATCAAGGGCACTGTTTGGGTGATCCTGCAAAACATCAGTTCCACTGGCCACCACTAAAAATGATCCCATTTGGATCTTCAGATTTGGGCTACACTGTTAATTGGGAGCATTCCAGATAATGCCCACACAAATAGAGTGTTCAAACACATTTCACTGAAAACACTTACGCCATATGATAGCTGAAGTGGGTAAGTACACTAGGATTGTGCTCAGAGCAATCACAACTGAGCATTACCCTGCTCTGGTCACTTTCTGATCAGTCATAGTGAGGGTCTCTCATAATTTAGCCACTCAACTCATACCCACATCTGGTAGTCACAAGTCCAAGTGTTCAAAGTCAGGCTAAGACAATAACAATAACTCAACTCAATCCACTCCACAGCAAATCACTCATACAGCATAGTGTAGAATTTGGTAAAGGAAAAAAGTCAAAACAATATGGATAATTAACGTTCCCCATCTCCCTGAGATTTAGTGGGGAGGTGGAGGAAATAGTAGTGGCATCAATGAATTAAATCAGAACTGAAACTGAATATTTTGGGTATGTTAATGATTATTGAATCTTTGACTCCTTTTCTAGCCTCTTCCAAAATAATTTGGCCTGTCATAGAGTCGCTGGCTGAGAGGGAAGAAGTTAAAAAAAAAAAAAGACAGCAGGGTGGGTAGAGATGGCAGGAATCAATGGAATAGAAAAAATCTCCTATCTTTCTCTGTGAAATAGATTAAATCATGTTAACATTTGAATAGTGCTTTTCTTCTATGAATACCAATGTACTAAATGAGACAATTTCACAACTTAAAAAAGAGATAAAAAGAGATCAAACAAATAAATATGAGTCAATCACAAGCTAAAATTCAAATTCTAGGAAATAAAGATAAGACCCTGGGGCCATATTTACCTATATGACTTATGAAGTTCCATGACCTTCTCTTCAAGTTCTTTGGTCTGATTTGGGGCCAGTTTAAACTCACTAACGTAATCAGCACCATGAAGTTCTGGGTCATAGTCTCCCAATTCAGACTGGACAGTGTAAGAACTCAGCAGAGCTAAAGTGGCAAAGGAGCAGGGCAGTCGTCCTGTAACAATGTCCTGCCGAAGCTGAAGGCATAAGTAATACCTGCAGTCAAAAGGGGAAAAGCAGCATCATGTTAGACTACTCCTCAGCAAGAAAACAATCACTTGGAAAGACATGGGGAAATTGAGAAAAATTGTTTTACCAAACAGCTATATGTTATCTTTTACATTAAAAGATGTCACCAGTGTCCCCATGAGGAAGCCATGCCCTTGGGATGATTCTTCCAAGAGTAGAGACTTCTAGTGGACACACTAGTGCCAGGTGTTTCTTGTGTTCAACAATACTCCTCTTTCTGAGAGATGACCAGTGGCAAGGAGGAGTGCCCACGCTATGTGCTACTGCATATTGAGTCTCTCTGTATATATATAATTGACAAGCATGCAGATCAAACCCAGGCTTAGTTCAGTTTTTTAGGACATTGGTTTTGTCAGTACTGTTCTAAGCATCTGAAATAACCAGAGGACAACGAGTAACTGATACTAATATTGATCAAGTCTCTTTTTTGTTTTTATTTTTTTAATTTATTAATTCATTTATTTTTAGTTTTCAACATTCACTTCCATAAGAATTTGAGTTCTAAATTTTTCTCCCCTTTACTTCCCTCCCCCCCTCCCAAGATGGCATGCAATCTGATATAGGCTATACATATACATTGATATTAAACATTTTCACATTAGTCACGTTTTAAAGGAGAATTAGAATCAATGGCAGAAACCACAAGAAAGAAGAAACAAAAAAAAAGAGAGAGAGCAAATAGCATGCTTCAATCTGCATTCAGACTTCATAATTCTTTCTCTGGATGTGGATAGCATTTTCCATCATGAGACTTTTGGAGATATCTTAGATCCTTGCATTGCTGAGAAGAGCTAAATTTATCAAAGTCAGTCATCGCACAATGTCGCTGTTACTGTGTACAGTGTCCTCCTGGTTCTGCTCACTTCACTCAGCATCAGTTCATGTAAGTCTTCCTCTCAAAAAAGAAAAAAGAAAAAGATTCTGGCTCTCCTTTGGGGCAGCTAGGTAGAGCAGTGGATAGAGCTCTGGCCTTGGAGTCTGCAGGACCTGAGTTCAAATCCAGCCTCAGACACTTGACACTTACTAGCTGTGTGACTCTGGGCAAGTCACTTAACCCTGATTGCCTCACCAAAACAGAAAAATAAAGATTCTAGATCATCTAAGTCTTTCTTGATAGAGCTTCTTACAGCTCACAAAGTGCTATAAATACATTATTTCATTTGATCTTCACCAAAACACAACGAGGTAGGCTGGACAGGTATTATTATCCCGATATGAGGAAACTCAGGTCCAAAGTTGAGCATATATATGTATGTGTGTCTCTGGGTGTGTATAGACATGATCCTAGAGAATGCTTTGATCAGGGAGAACAAACAAATAAAAGAGGAACCTGAGTAACCTACAAATCAGCGATAGACCCTGTTAATCTAAAAAATAGTTTTCATCAGGGCAGCTAGGTGGTGTAGTGGACAGAGGACTGGCCCTGGAGTCAGGAGGACCTGAGTTCAAATCCAGCCTCAGACACATGATAATCACTAGCTATGTGACCCTGGGCAAGTCACTTAACCCTGATTGTCTTGCCCTCCCCAAAAAATTATTTTTTAAAATTTTTTTATTTTTAGGCAATTGGGGCTAAGTGACTTGTCCAAGGTCACACAGCTAGTAAGTGTCAAGTGTTTGGTCAGAGGCTGGATTTGAACTCAGGTCCTCCTGATGTCAGAGTCGGTGCTCTATCCACTGCGCCACCTAGCTGCCCCCCCCAAAAAATTATTAAAAAAACAGCTTCATCTCTGTTCCCAAAGATTCAGAAAAATACCACCAGCTTACTGGAAACTCAAACCTCTTCAAAATGAAGACTAAAAAAAGATTATTGGAGTCTCTTTGAATCATTTTTTTTAAGACAAGGAGTAGAAAGACGCACTACTGTCACAACTATGACAGGCAACTACCCTCCAAAAAGAGATACCCTAAATAAGTTTTGCAAACAGAGGTATGGTACACTATGCATGTGCACATTCAAGATGACTAGCCAAGGCTTTAGAGTAAAAGTTATGTAATGACTGCACAGTTTTACAGAATTTCCACAGAATATAAAGTGAGGGGAATTTTGGCTCTGGAGGCTTTGTGAGTGCCTAGTCCAAACCTTTCATTTTGTAGATGAGAAAATTGAGGCCTAGAAAAAGGAAGAGACTTGTCCCGACTCACATCATGAATGGCAGCATGACAAAGCCAGGATTTGAACTCAAGGCTCTGAATTCTCAGCCTGGTGACCCTTGCTCAATACTATCTAAACAACCTCCTCACAACCATCACCTTTTTTATTTTAATACTTTGGAAAGTCCTTGGTGAAATCTTAGGAATCCAATAAAAGTCACTTCTTAAATTAGACAAATCTCTTGAAATTAATCAGGCTTTAAAAAGTAATTACAGGAAGTTTCACAGTGACAGGTGTAATCTTTCCCCCATGCCCAGATTATTCTCTCTCCTCAACTCCAATCCTCGGCTTCTTTCAGGACAGCCTGAATCCCACCTTCTGGAAGAGGCTGTGCCCGGTACCCCCTCCCCTCTCCCACTGCCAGTGCTTTCCCTTGGAGGTTATCTTCCATTTGCACTGTATAGAGCTTGTATGTACAATTTTCTGCATGCTGTTTCTCCTGTCAAATGTGAGCACCTTGAGGACAAAGACTCTGGCACCTTGGACATCGCACTTCTGTAAGCTTCAGCTTCTTCATCAACATGAAGAGTAGCCTGCATAGCATCTAGAGTCAATTTCAATTCCAAAATGACACAATTCTATAACTCTAAGTAAGGGCACAAATTCAGAAGCTAAGAACTAAAATTCTGGGCCTTTACAATATCAAAGAGAGTATGAGAGAAGAGGATAAAAGAAAAGTTTCCCTCTACAACACTTCCACTCATGTCTTCTAGAACATAGTGTTGTCTTCTCCACAACTTGGACTGAACATTTAGAGTAGTCAGAGCTGTCGCAAGAACATGCCAACTCATGTATTAACTGAATCTATATCATCCTCCCTACACTAATCAGGGAAAAATACAGGCATTTGGGGTCTGCAGTTATGTATATCCAAAGCTACCTCACTCATATTGAACCCTCTTTTATCTTGGAGTTTCTAGTTTAACAGCTCTTCATCCTTTCCATTCTGAAAATGAAAAGTCCCAGTACTTAGGATAAGGGAAATTGCTTTTAATTAACTTAAGTAATAATTCAAATATTACCTTGTTATATCTTCTGATAATTGCGCTGGGTCAGGTGGATAAAACTTCACATTGAATGTAAAATTCCAAGGGGCTCCTGTAAATATACAAAAGCATTTTATAACTTATGCCAACTAACACAGGAAGAACTGACCTATAGGTCAAAAGGATCTATATCAATAATGTTCTAGATACACGACTTGCTAGGGAGAGGGACGTCAACCAAAAATAAATTAAAGAAAAGAAACAAAAGAGCCATTGAAACATGGCTTTTGAAATAAGCAGACTAGGACCAAAGGGATCACAGTCAAGCAGGATAGCTTTGAAAGTAACAAGCTGAATTTATTTTATACTTAAAAAAAAAGCAAGCTGTCTATAATAAAGATGTGACGTTTCATTTCTATTATGTACACACACACACACACACACACACACACACACACACACGTGGAGTGCTCATTTTCATTGATGTTTATTAGGCTCAGAAAAAAATTTTGGGGAAAAAACCACCTAAATACAAAACTTGTAAACCATAGGGCTATTCCATGGTCTCATGTTTAGAACAAATGTGGGAGAGGGCAGGAAGGTATTGGGAAAGTGTATGTCCTCATAAATCTGCATAAGAGAGAAGCTGTATCATAGGAAAAATAGTACTAGAGACACACATAAATTTACATTAGACAAAAATCAAAGGGACCAGTAATAAAATTAATAGCCTCAGTGTCTACTCAAATGTAAAAAATATGCATTACAAGTAAGGTGAACTAAATCAGACCTCCTTAAACTTTTTCCACTCGCAACCCCTTTTTGCATTTCAGCATCATTCATTGGCATTGGGTGGCATGACGGCACATACAGTGCAAGTGCGCATGCTTTGTGTTCAGAACCAAGGCTGAAGTGAAGTTGTGTGATACAACATGGACAAGCGCTGCCAGAAACACCCTGGATTCACTACATGTTTGATTTTTAATTAATTTTTAGTCTCTGTGAGCTCAGAAACTTTTTACTGTTGCCAAATTATTCGCGACCCTATACAGGGTCACAACCCACAGTTTCAGAAGCACTGAACTAAAACACCTAACATAAGGAGGAGAATTTTATGTTCTAAGTTTTGATGAGACTTGGCGAGATAAAGTCCATTACCATACTTCTAGATGAGTATATTGTATTCAAAAGAAAACAAGTAAGTAAAAGGGGGCGGGGGAGCTAGCACTGTTTATGAGGAAAATGGATGCTCACGAGGAAATCCAGGAAGCAGAATGAGGGCGGCAGGAGAAGCCTGGTGGAGAACTTAACCTCTCCGGGCCTCAACTTCCTCACATATAAATGAGAGAGTCAGCCTCTAAGATCCCTTCTAGTTCTAACTCTGGGATCTTATGAATATTTGGGTCAAACATCAGAGGAGGCAGAAACACAAGTGGCATTGTTACCAGAGCATACTGTGAATAGCCCTGGACAGAAGGATGGAAGGGCTGAGGAATCAGGAAACAAATCAAAACCCTCCTCAGAAGAAAGATATATTAGCACTGGGAGTCTTCAGTTATCCAAATGGCTTTTAGAACTCTCTCTTTATCAAAAGGTTTAAGGACTAGAGCAGAGCACAACCAACTTCACCGTGATACTGAGTCATCAAGAAAAGGTTCAATTACACTTATGAAAGAGGCAAAAAATATAAAATATTTGTAAAATACTACCACTAAAATGGTTAAAACAGGAGACTGGTATTTCATAGACTAAACTTCAATCGCCTGGAAAATTCCTTACCCAGGAACTCCAGACACATAAAGCCTTATGGAAATAGCAGCAACTGTTAAATAATGGCATCTGTATTCACATACAAAACACACAGATTTAAATAATCTTGTCCCCCTGAAACTCACAAAAGCAGCACTACCTGTCCTTAGCCACCCCCTCAAAAAAAATCCACGCTGAAAAGAGAAACACACGCTAGCAACTTTCTAAGAACCGTGAGCCATAAAATCCCATAGATCAAAGCATGTGTGACTATCCGCTTCATTTCTTACCAAGTCTAATGTAATGGCGAACTCCCACTTCCTCTAAGCAATCTATTGCCCACTTTCTGTGAGCTAAGACATGACTATGACATAATGAAAACCAAAATGTATACTGAATGATAACATTTTACTAGAATTATGCTTTGTATACTATTTCTTTGCCTCCCAATAGAATTGCTACTCACCCACCTCCCTTCTTATAAATTTCTATTACAAGCAATAAAGCACGAGCATCTGCTTGAGCAGCTATAGAGACTACTAACAGGTATCCAAAACCCATTTTACTTTTCTACTTTGATTCTGTTATGGTCAGAAAAACTAGCCACAATGGAGAGTTACGTGTTTGATAAGAGATTCTAGAAAGTCCTTAAGGGCCTGATTTCTGAAGGGTTGTAACAACTACTTAGGGACTTAACTCAGTGAGGGAGGGTGAGGTGTTCTGTTTAATTAAGTAAACTATTTAAGAGACTATCTATATATCACATTACCAATTTTCAGAGAATTATGGACACTCTTCTATGTAAGGAATTATTCAGCTCTCCAAATTTGCATTCCTGCTACTAAAAGCCTTCTCTGCTATTTCTCTGGGAACTTCTGGCATTCATCTTGTCTCACCTTGTTGATTGAGGCTTTTCTCCCTTAAACTATCCTAATTGCTAGGAGCCATCTCCAGTCACCCTGATCTATATCTCACCACCGGGCCCAGATGGCTCCAGAGGAGAAAGTGAGGCTGGGCCTTTGCACAGCCCTCTCTCACTTAAATTTGATTCACTTGCAAGTCATGGCACCACTTTCCTGACACACAAACAACAACAAAAGTAGAGCCTGATAATTTATAATTTGTCTTAAGGATAATTTTTAAAAAATGTTTTTATTGCTCTTTTGTTTCTTACATCACTGTAGTATCCTATGTATCCCTACCCCTCCCTGACCTTGAGAGCCATCCCATTTATCAAATAGTAATTTTGTAGCCCCTCCCCCCCCCAAAAGTAAGCACAACTGATCAATTCATTGAAAAAGTCCAGAAACTTGCAATGTGTAACGCCTGCGGACCTCCCATCTCCACAAAGGAGTGGACTGAGCATGCCTTCTCATATTTGTTCGTGAGGCCCACTTGAGCTTTATCATTTTATTATATTTACTTTTGGTTGTTTTGTGTGTGGCTGTTCTTTCCACTTACATGTGATAGTGACTGTGTATGTTGTTTTCTTGCTCTGCTTACTTCACTTTGCATTAGCTTACATAGTTCTTTTCACGCTTACCTATATTCATCACTCATATAATTTCTTACAGCACAGTAATAATCCATTATGTTGATGTACCACAATTTGTTTAGCTATTCTCCAACTGATGAGCATCTACTTTGTTTCCAATTCTTAGTTATTAGAAGAAAAAAAAAGTGCTGCTATAAATAGTTGGAAGAATATGGGGACTTTCTTCTTACTGATGGCTTCCTTGGGGTATAAACCCAGTAATGGAGTTTCTTCTTCAAAGAGTATGGATGTTTTCTTGTTTGCATACTTACTATTTGCTTTCCAAAATGGCTGTAACACTTTACAGCTCCACCAACGATGTATTAGTGTGCCTGTCTTTCCATAACTCCTCCAATGTTGACTGTTGCATATTTTGTCGTTTTTGCCAATTTGCAGGGTGTAAGGTAATTGTGCAGGATTGTTTTGATTTGTATTTCTCTTACTATTAATGATTTGGAGCATATTTTCATGTGGTTGTGAATACTTTGCAGTTCTTTTGAGAACTGTTTGTTCATATCCGTTGACCATTTATCTATTGGGGAACAGCTACTGGTCTTACATAAATTTATTAATCATTTCTATATTTTGGATAACAAACTCTTATCAGAGAAATTTGATACAAAGTTTTTTTCCCCATTTGACTATTTATTATCTCATCCTAGATGCACTGATATCGTCTGAAGCTGTGCAGCTTCTTTTTTTAAAATTAATTTATAGTTTTTAACAATCACTTCCACAAGCTTTTGAGTTTTAAATTTTTCTCCCCCTCTCCTTTCACCTCCCTCCCTCCCCAAGACATCGTGCAATCTGATATAGGCTCTGCATATACATTCCTATTAAACATATTTTCACATTAGTCATGTTGTAAGGAAAAATCAGAACCAACGGAAGGAACCACAAAAAAAGAGGAAACAAAACAGAAGGAAAAATAAGTTCTTTCTCTGGATGTGGATAGCATTTTCCATCACAAGACTTTTGGAGATGTTTTACATTCTTGCATTGCTGAGAAGAGCTAAATTTATCACAGGTAAATGTTGCTGTTACTGTGTATAGTGTTCTCCTGGTTCTGCTCACTTCATTCAGCATCAGTCCATGCAAGTCTTTCCAGGTTTTTCTGAAGTCTGCTTGCCCATCATTTCTCATAGCGCAACAGTATTCCATCACAATCATATACCACAACTTGTTCAGCCATTCCCCAAATGATGGGCATCCCCTCAATTTCCAATTCTTTGCCACCACAGAAAGAGCTGCTATAAATATTTTTGTACATGTGTGCCCTTTTCTCATTTTTAAGATCTCTGTGGGATACAGCCCTAGAAGTATGATTGCTGGGTCAAAGGCTATGCACATTTTTATAGCCCTTTGGGCATAGTTCCAAATTGTTCTCCAAAATGGTTGGATCAGTTCACAACTCCAACAACAATGCATTAGTATTCCAATTTTCCCACATCCTCTCCAACATTTATCATTTTCCTGTTTTGTCAGCTGTGCAGCTTCAAGTAATCAAAGTTACCTATTTTATTTTTTGTAATTGCCTCTATCTCTCATTTGAGAAATGAGAGAAGAATTGGAGACGATGAGTATAGAAAGCTTTTTTCTAGGACTTTGGCTATGAAAGGGAGGAGAGGGATAAGAAAGAGAAAATGCTAGAGTCAAGTGAGAGTTTTAAAGAACTGGGGAGAACTGAGCATGTTTGTAGGCAAGAGGAAAGGATTGAGTGTGTGTGAGTGTGCGTGTGTGTAAAAGTAAAACGTACATATTATATAACTTTATACGTTATATATATATATATATATATCTATATATATATTATGTACGTATGTATTATATAAACACACATATGAAGAAACTGAATATTGGCAGGATTGGTGGGAGGATGATTATAGGAACAAACTGCCAGGGGAGCAAGAAGGAAATGGAATCAGGGATACAAATAGAGGGTTTGTTTGGCCTTGGTGAGGATAATGGAAATCTCTTCTTAAAGACTGAAGTAGGGGTCATCTAGGTGGCACAGTAGATAGAGCATCGACCCTGGAGTCAGGAGGACCTGAGGTCAAATGTGGTCTCAGACACATAATACTCACTAGCTGTGTGACTCTGGGCAAGTAACTTACCCCCAAATTGCCTCACCGAAAAAAAAAAAAGACTGAAGTAAAGGATAGGAAGGGGGATGATGTCAAGAGATTCTGAGATCCAATCTAGGAGAGAAGACAGAGCCCATGGGCAGGGGAACGGCCTCTATTTCCTCAGTAAAGTATGAAGTAAGGTGATTTACAGGCATTAATAGCTTGTTTTTAAATGTTCTGTGGGTATGCTTCCATGGCATTTTATTTCACCTTTAATAATGATTAATCTTAATTAACAATGACATTTGCTAATTGTAGAAATTTTTAAAAATTATATTTTGAGGGAGTTCAGATGCTCCAATAATTATTCTATTTAAACACCTTGGATAGCTAATGTAAGGTCCTTAAGAAACTATAAATCGATGTTCTCCTTCAATGTTTAACTTAACATGAAACAATACAGTAAAAGATGTCTGAAAACAAATCAAAGCCAGAGTCCAATAAATATAACTAACCCATTTCTATTGCCTTATAATAGAAAAGTTTAAAATAGTACTCCACTTAGGAAAATAATTCTTAACCTGACTGTCAAAGCCAATTCACAACTTTTAATGGGTCAATCGTTATAATTTCTAACAAGCTGAAGACACAGCCTATTTTACTAATGCCTTGGTCCAGGCACCACTAACTTATATACATTCTAACTGGGCCTGAAATGTAGTTTAGATTTAGAATATCTATATCCTTTCCCACCTCTCTCCCCCCCTCCCCACTAACCCTTAAAAGGCTGGCTAAACAAAAAATAGTAAAAGCAAATTTACAAAAAGGAGTTCTTAAGCCACTTGAGAATAAACTATTTTCAAGCGTCATAGAAGAACCAGTTATATAAATCTACATATATCTGGCTCTGATCAAACAAAATTTTATTCCCTAATCTATAATTCAGACTAGGTTTTCTCTCCACTTAGTCCAAATTAGTTTAAAATTAGCTTAGATTAGCTAAAGCACCATTATATAATGTAATATACATCTACCATGAGGAGAGTACTGCTCACTCAACATTGCTACAACTCTTTCTCCCAAATTAGGGGGCAAGATAAATATTGTTAAAACAGTCATCTTCATTACACAAAACATCTCTCTCAAATGGCTGAAAAACCATTTTTCTTAGAAGTCAGGAAATATTAAAGGTAAGTTTCCTATGGTTGCAAATCTGATTGCATTGAGTCCTTGGAAAGTCTCCCAGTCGGTGTTATTGCTGTGTAACACTCTACTTCAGCAGCACAGAATAGAGAATATTTAAGAAAGGGAGAAGAACTCAAGGACCCCAGTCAGCTACTAGAGCAACAACTTACTATTTAATAAAAACTGCCGGAAAAACTGGAAAGTAATCTGGCAGAAATTCGGAGAGTTAAAAATTAACCATTCTGAAAAACAATTTCAAATCATACCCCCAAAGTTACTAAACTGTGCACACTTTCTGACCCAGTGATACTACTACTACTAGGTCTCTACCTCCAAAGAGATCAAAGAAAGTGGAAAAGGACTCACATGTACAACAAAAAATTTACAGCAGCTCTTTTGGGGGAATGGCTGAAAAAATTATAGAATATGAATGTGATGGAACACTATTACGCTGTAAAAAATGATGATTAAAACAATCTTGAGGTATCATTTTACATCCACCAGATTGGCTAAAATGACAGAGGGGGAAAGTGATAAATGTTGGAGGGGATGTGGAAAAATTGGGACACTAATTCATTGTTGGTGAAATTGTGAACTGATCCAACCATTTTGGAGAGCAATCTGGAATTACACCCAAAGAGTTATTAAACTACTTATACCCTTTGACCCAGCAATACTACTACTTGGTCTATTTCCAAAGATAATTAGGGAAAAAGGAAAAGAACCTATATGTTCTAAAATGTTTATAGCAGCTCTCTTTGTGGTGGCAAAGAACTGGACATTGCAGGGATGCCCATCAATGGGGGAATGGCTGAACAAGTTGTGGTATATGATTGTGATGGAATACTACTGTGCTATAAGAAATGATGAGCTCAAAAAAAAAAAGAAATGATGAGCTCAATGATTTTAGAAAAACATAGAAAGAGTTGCACAAAATAATGAAGAATGAAATGAGCAGAATCAAGAGAACATTGTACACAATAAGAGTAACATTGTCTTAAGAATGACTTTGAATGAATTAGTTATTTATTATAAATATTATTATAAATATCTAAATTAACTATACAAGGACATATGAAGAAAGATGCTATCTACATCCAGAGAAAGAAATGATAAATATAAGTATGTATAGAATAATTTTAAATATATATCCCCATTTGTATCTAATGGCAGCCTTCTCTATGGTGGGGGGAGGGAAGGGGAAAAAAAAGAAATGTACACAATAATTTTGTTGTATATTTGAAAAGAATAGCAAGTTGTGCATAGTAGATTTGTAGTTTCATGTTCAATCATCTGTTTTATTGTACTATGTTATGGAAATGCTTGTTTTATTCTACAAATTAAAAATAAAATTTAATTAAAGAAAGATGAAGAGGATGGTTTCAGAAAAACTTGAGAAGCTGATACAAAGTGAAATTAGCAGAACCAGAAGAACAGTGTACACAGTAAAAGCAATATTACAATAAACTGTGAAAGGCTTGGCTACTCTGATCAACACAATGACCAATGACAGTTCCAAAACTCTTGATGAAAAATACCATCTACCTCCAGACAGAGCACTAATGAATTCAGAGTGCAGATTAAAGGATATATTTTTCTTGCTTTTTTAGAGGGAACATGGCTAACGAAGACATGTTTTTCATGGCTTCATATGTGTAAAAAGTGTATTTCTTGGCTTCTGGATAAGGGTGAAAGGGATAGGAAGGAAAAAATTGGGAACTGAAAAATAATTTTTTTACAGGAAGGGCATTTTTAAAAATGCTAAAAAAAATTATAACTTTAAAATTCCCACCTTTGGAACAACCAATTCTCATCCTTTATTTTGGTTTAATGACATATTTCCAATTTGTTTCCTCAGTAAGTTTTTGTGAGTTTAAGTGCTAGAGTCAGGTATTTGTTTGCTTTTATTTTTAAAGGAAAAAACAAATACTTCAAATGATTTTCTTAGCAAGGAAACTCTTAATAACATATTCCTCTAATCACTGCAAAATATTTCAACTTCTCTTTCTTAATGAGCTCTGCTGAGTAATACTGACATAAATTTATTCTTTAATTGAAAAGGGCTGGAGCAGTGTTTTTCACCGTATGTGATGAAAGTCAAAATGACCCTGAATGACTTTCATTCAGGCTTGAATAATAAGCTTTTAAATGAAGATCAGGTATGGAGAGGTGCCAGGTCAAAGGACTGTTTTACCTACTTAAAAAAGTCACAAAAGCAACTGAAAAACAAACAAAAATGGAAAACACTTTATCCTAACCATGCAGGTGTTTTTTTAAGTAGGTAAATTAACCTCAGGAAACTGAGATAAAACTTACTATTTGTGAGACTAGATTTAGAGCTGCAAGGAACCTTATAAATTACCAATCCCAAATCACCCTCATCTTACAGATAAGGAAGCTGAGGCCCAGAATAGTTAAGTGATTTTCCTAACATCATGTGATAAACCCAGAATTCAAATACAGATCCTATAATTTCAAATCTATCACTCTTTTCATAATGCAATTACAATTCTTTGCATTTCTCAAAAGCTTCATCTAAAATTACCTCATCCAAAATGTACTGGACAGAATTACTCATACATTAGAAAATATTTCTGTTGGCCCCCAACTCTTCATTGCATCAAGGAACATGGGCTAATATATTGCTATTCATTTCCTTTTTCAGACCTAGAAACATCTTTAGTGAAAACTCCATGTCTGGGCAAAAGTGGTCTATCTCCATATTTACAATGATCCATCTCCTTTATCTTGCTGTAGCTTCCCACTCATCTTACCCACTATTAAGGAATTGCCTACTTTGATGACTTTGCCTCATTCTAAAAATGTCCATTAGGGATTCTAAAGTTACTCACAATTGGAGAAAATGTGATCTACCAAAACGATTTAAGAAACACTACTGAGATGGTTAACGATTCCCACTTACCATGAACCTGCTTTTTTATTTCTTTGGCAGAATCCAGCCAAGTCTGTAAAAGAAAAGAATAAAAACAATTCATACAGAATTCTACAGATGTATCGCAGCAAACAATAGAAAATAGAAAGTCAGTTAAGTGGAAACACACAACACTTTCAACCAGAGCTCCCATGTCAAACCTAGAGAAAATAAGAGTATTACCCTTGCCCAGGATCAATCTGTAATAACTGCTTCCCCTATAATTCAGAAATAAATTACAATGGGGTCAGTTAAATGTTTCTACTTCTTGAGAGTGCAAGCAGCTGTCAATATAAAAGTGGGGTCTCACTCCCATCCCAATTAATGTAATCACAGAAGGCACAGATACCTTGATTGAATCAAACTAGAAATAGGTGTGAATAAGTCCTTAATTAATGTGAGAGGATTATAATGCTTAAAGCAATGGATGAAGATAAATGACAACACAGGAAACATCTTATGAATGGTTTAAATAATCAAACATCTTCCTGGGACTATACATAAAATTAGTAAGCAGGCCAGCAATTCCTTTCTCTATCCACCTCCCCACCTTCCTTGCCACCCTGACATCTCATGTGAAAGACTACATCAGTAACAGATACCAATTTGAGTGAGATCAATAGTCACTAGGACAAAGGCAGCTTCAAGGAGTGGATGTGACCTGTGATGGTGGAAAGATGTGCTAACCAAGGACTCAACAAAAACCACCAAGCTTCTGAGTAAGGCAGAGAGCTACACCAAAGGGGAATTTCATGAGGACTCCACCAAAGGAGAGACTGACCTGGTACTGGAGTACCAGGGGCTGTAAATTACCCTTAGCCCCATGTGTTCAACACACACACACACACACACACACACACACACACACACACACACACACACACACACACACACACACACACACACACACTTCACTACATTTGTTCTTTAAGTTTGTGCTCATCATCCCCATGGATGCTGTGTGTATCTATGGAAGAATATGGCCCCAGACTTGCAACTACTATTTCGTTATACGTATACTACCTTAATACATACTTTTGCTAAAAACTCATTAAGTCTGGCTGATTAGTAATAGGAAGCAAATGTGGCAGGGGGCTTGTGAAAAACCCTTGAGATTACTCCTAGTGTCCAATGACTAGGAATCTTCATCTTGCTAAAGAGGAAAATTAGGATCAGAGAAATTAAGATGATAACAGTTGCCCTAGAGCTAGAAGGACCCTTAGAATCCAACAATACATGCTAAATGAAGTCATCAAGTGCAAGATGCAGTAATGTCTCAAGTTTTAACTGTTCTACTTACAAGTCACCACCAGCTGAGGATCTAACCTAAGTAAGGCCCAAAGGTTGGTTACTTTAGAATAAGGAAACATTCAATTTAACATTTATCAAGCACCTGCTAGATTCAGAGCAATAATGTCTAGCCTGGCACTAGACATTAAAAATAGCAACCTGCTTGCTCCCAGGGAGCTGATGTTCTACTAGGGGGTAGGTGACAACATGTCCACAAGTAAATCTAACATGAGGTATGATGGGTACAAAGGAGAAATCCAGTACTCTGGGAAAATCTGAATAGGGACAGAATAATAATACTTTCATCTACAAGGAATAAAAAAACCCCCAGCTTCACAGAGGAGATAACAACCAAGCTATGCCTCAAAGGTACAAAAGGATACTGAAAAGTAGAGATGAAGAGTAAGTACCATATAGACAAAGGGGATTTCAGGTGAACGAACAGAGGTAGAAAATGGTATATGGAGTTCAGGCACAGTTACTAGTCCAGCTTGGCTGAAACAGAAAGCTTGAAGGGAAGTAATGCAAAATCAGGATAAACATTTGGTTGGAGACAGATGGTAAAGGGCCATAAATACCATATTTTATATTTTATACAAGAGGCACTGAGGAGCCACTGATGGCTATCAAGCAATGGGGTGATAATGGTCAGACCTGTGCCTTATGAAGATTACTTTGGCAGTAGAGTGACGGATGATGAACTGAAGAATCAAAAGACTGGACGCAAGAAAGTAGTCATAGGCTATTTTAATAATACAAATCCAAAGGACCTGACCTAGTGGCATTAATATGGCTGAAAAAAATACAAAAGGACAGATGTGAGAGATACTATATAGGCAAAAATCAAAAGGACTTGACAACAGATTGGAAATGAAAGGCAGGGAGAGGAAGGGAGAAGAGTCAAATAAACCTCTGAGGTTTTCATCTTAGTGACTAGAAGTAAGTAATTAAGTCATAGCTATAAGATGGGAAAGAGGCAGCTTTGGTAACGGACCAATCCAAAAAATGGGAAAAGAAAGGATGGATGACTGTTTCTAAAAAGAGGTTAGGGTTTTCCTTTTTGTTGTTATCAGAATTGGGATCCTATCAAAACAACCATGACTTGCCAAAGAAGTACCTCACAGGAAGCTGGATGTTTTGCAATTTTGGTATAATACCTTACATACACACACACACACACACACACACACACACACACACATTTCTAGAGGGCAAATATTTATTCAATTTGCCTGGACAGTATATATGAATTTTCAAAGATAGCATGCCACTCTTGGGTAGAGCTTCCCAGGAGGTAAAGAAGGAAGATTCTAATAATGTAAACTTATATTGAATGCATACAACTTGAAGGTTCTATTCTTTTAGTCCATTGACTAAAACTTGCTTACCTGAACACTGGGGATTTGCCCTCTTCTGCTCTCATTTTCTAAATTTCTTCTTTTGTGCTTATTAGATTTCCTAGGTAATTTTTTAATTTTCAAAATGACATATTCAGTTCATTACACTTTCTTTTTCTATTCTGTTGTTGTACTTGGGGGTATTATTTGTCCTCTGATGACTGTTTTTGCTGTACCTTGGAGATTCTGGTACCATTGTCTTGTCATTACCACTGTCTTTCATATGGTTATTAATAATTTTTTTTTGGGGGGGTGTAGGCAATGGGGTTGCCCAGGGTCACACAGCCAGTAAGTGTCAAGTGTTGAGGCCAGATTTGAACCCAGGTCCTTCTGATTCCAGGGCCGGGACTCTATCCACTGCGCCACCTAACTGCCCCCAAGAAACTTCTACAATCATTAAAACTACAGTTCAAAGACATGATAAATCTTTTAGATATCTTCCCTTTTGATTATCTTTTTGTTATTCTTTCTGTCATTGTTCTCTAAAACTGAGAGGGACACTGAAATATCCTGCCACTATGGTATTGTATACCTCTGCCTGGAGGCAGTTAGCTGTTACAATAGATAAAGAGTTTTGGGCCTGGAGTCAGGATGATCTAAATGCACAAATAGCTTTAAACATTTACTAGCTATGCTACCTTGGGCAAGTCACTTAATCTCTGTCTCAGTTCTTTCCACTACAAAACAGAGATCATACATAATAGCACCTACCTGCCAGAGCTATCATGGGAAACAAATAAGATTACATTTGTAAAACACTTAGCACAGTGCCTGGCACACAGTAGGTGCTTAATAAATGCTTGTTTCCTTCCTTTCTTTAGACATGTAGACATTTGGAACACACAAATGTAATAATGGTATTTGTCTGTTTTCTATGGTTCCTTCCAGCATAATGTATGTTGTGAATGTTTGCTTTGTGTGACAGCATAACTGCAACTCCTTACTAGGATCCTACGTGCAGGAACACTGAAATTACCTCATTGCTTGCATATTTTGAAGATGTTTGTAAGGCCATGAAGATTAGTAAAAATGTCTAGTCCTCTATCTTGTTGGTCATGTGACAGGAAATGGTGTGCATGTGTTTAATAGAGACATTGATTCAGGACCTGCCCTTTTAATTCATTCATTCCACAAACATTTATTTATTAAGTATCTACAAGGAACATCACACTGTGATTTGTCAGACAGTTATATAAAGGCAAATGAAGACATGACCCTGAGTCTAAAGGTACTTACACAGTCTAGAAGAGACAGACACAAGACACATCCAAATAAATATCTCATACTAATTTCGAATTATAAGTGTTTAAGTCTAAAGTTCTATGAGATCAGATAAGAAAGAAGTCACTTCCAATTAAGAAAATCAGGGAAGATTTCATGAAAAAAAATTATGTTTGAAAATATTATGTAGACATTTCCCTTTTAAATTATGATGCACATACGAGTATTTTCATAATAGCAACGAATAGTAATCCTGAGAACAGAAAATGATTGGGATATTAAAGAATTAAGAAACAATTTCTAAGAATATCATGCCTTACTTGACTTCTGGGAATCAAACATACATATACTTACACTAAACAATAAATGAAAAAGACCACTTCTAGATATTTTCTTATGTCGTAGTCATCTCCTTACCTTGGAAGTTGCATTATCCCATATGGCTAGACCAAAGTAGTCCTCTTCCAATAGATTGAGATGTTCACATACTTTCTTTATCAGATCTTGTCCCTTAGCATGTTTCTACAAATATAAAACATTTAAGATGATGTAAAATTCATTTAATTCAACAAATATTTACTGAACTCCTATCATTTGTAAGATGTTGTGTTAGGTGCTTTGGGAAGATGAAAACCTTTCTAGGTTTTCATGACACTGCTTTCTCCCGAGTCTTTTCTAATCTCTTCTTTTAAGTCTCATTTGCCTGCCATCTCTATCTAGAACATGCCCATTAACCAAGACTGTCTCCCCTGCCCTGTCCTGGCCCTATTCTCTTCTCCCTCTACCATATTTTGCTTAGTGATCTCATTGTCCCATGGATTCAAGGATCATCTCTATACAGATCTATTTATACAGCCCTAACCTCTCTCCATCTCCTATCCTGTGTCCTCAAATGCCTACTGAACATCCCAAATTGGAAGTTCCATAGATATTTCAAACTCCACACTTCTACAACATAACTCATTATTTTTCCTGTCTTCTCAACCAAACTTCCTTATTACTACCACTTCCCAATCACACAGGCCCACAACATAGTTGCTATCTTCAACTCATTATTCTCTCTCTTTCACCATATTAATCTGTTACTAAGTCTACCCTCATAACATCTCTCGGTTATGAGGCAAGCACAGCAGAGAGAGTTCTAGACCTGGAATCAGGAAAACATGAGTTTTACTTTAGATAACTTACTAGCTATGCAATCCCGGACAAGTTACTTAAGCTCTGTCTCTCTCAGTAAAATGGAAATAATAGTATAATAGCACCTACCTGCCAGGGTTGCTGTGAGGATAAAAGGAGGTAATATTTGTAAAGTACTTTGCAAATCATAAAGTGCCATATAACTGCTATCATCATCATTATCATCTACATTATGTGCCCTTCTCTCCACTCACATAGCCACCTAGGGTGGTGCTTCAGGCCTTCATCATCTCTCACCCAGACTACTGTAACAACCATCTAAGTGGTCTCCCTGCTTCAATTTTCTCCCCATTCCAATCTACCCTTCATTCATCTGCCAAAGTGACTTTTCAACTGTGCAGATATGACCATGTCACCTAGAAGAAACACTGGTGGCTCCCTATTACCTTCATAAGTAACATAAAATCCTTTGCTGGCTTTTAAAGCCCTTTGACACCTGGCCCCTTCCCATCTTTCCAATCTTCTTCCTCTTTATTGCCCCCCTTCCTGGCCTTCCTGCTGTTCCTTGACCAGGACACTCCATCTCTCAGCTCCTGGCCTTTTCACTGGCTATCCTCCAGGCCTAGAATGCTCTGCTCCCTCAACTCTACCTCCTGGCTTCCCTAGCTTCCCTCAAGAATCTGGTCAAATTCTATTTTTGGCAAGAAGCCTTTCCGAGTCCCCCCCCCCCCATTGCCGGTGCCTTCCCTCTGAGAATACTTCCCACTGACCCTGTATATATCTTTACGTACATATCTATTTGCAAGCTGTGTCCCTCATTAAAATGTGAGCTTGAAGTCAGGGACAATATTTTTTGCTCTTTTCTGCATCCCCTTAGCACAGTGCCTAGCACATAGAAAATATTTAATAAATGCTGTTGTTGATGACAGTGACATTGTCCTTGTTCTGAAAGACTAGGAGCTAGCTCTTCCAGGACTAAGGAATAGTCCAACTAGGCTCTGCCCTAGTCAGACAAACACTGGAACATTTTGTTGTTAGCCTACCATCTTTCCAGTCACCCAGATTTGCCTCATTGGTGGCAATGTCAATTCTGCACTCTCACTCAACCTAAATATCCAGTCAGCTGTTAGAGCTTGTCGTCTCTATCTCTACAACTTTCCTAACTAAAACACAGCATCTAGGTCAGGACCTCAATACCTCTTGCCTGAACTATTACAATAGCCTCTGAATGTTTTGTCTTGGAATCTTTGGTTTTATTCAAGACTCAGTTCAAGCCCAACCTTTTGCTTGAGAACTTTCCTGGTCCCCTCAGCTACTAGTATCTTCCAACCCAAAGTTACTTTGTATCTGTTTTATATGTTCCTACACAGGTTTGTTTCATCTTCCTTGGTGGAATATAGGCTTCTTGAAGGCAGGGCCTGATTTGCTTTTGTCTTTGTAGCACCTTTCATAATTCCTGTTACATGGTGGGTGCTTAAGAAATACTAGTAACTCATTTTAAAGCTTGAAAGCATCTAGAAAAGGGCATCCAGAATGGTGAAGGAATGAAAGACCAGGCCACCTGAGTATGAGCTACAGGTACCAGGGATGTTTTATCTGAAAAGCAAAGACTTGGGGGGGGGGGGATGGGCAGGGTGGTTATGGAGGAGTATGATGACTAACATCAAGAGTCTGAAGAGCTGTTATATGGAAAAAGGATTTATTTTCTTCTGTTCAGACCCAGAAGGCAAAACTAAGGTAGAAATTACAAAGAAGTCAACCTAGGCCTAAGGAAAATCTTAACAGAAGCACGCAAAAGTAGAATTGACTGCCTGAAGAGGTAGTGGTTTCCCACACATTGTAGTTTTTTAAGCAAAGTTCAGATGACCACTTGTCAGGCATGTTATAGAACTCTCATTCAGGGGCAGCGAGGTGGTGCAGTGGATAGAGCACCAGCCCTAAAGTCAGGAGGACCTGAGTTCAAATCCGGCCTCAGACCAAACACTTGACACTAGCTGTGTAACCCTGGACAAGTCACTCAACCCCAACTGCCTAAAAAAAACAAAAACAAACAAAAGAATACTCATTCAGATACAGGTTGAAATAGATGGCCACTAAAGTTCCTTCCAACTAAAATTATGTCATTATGAGATAAAGCTTATAACCTAATAGAGAAAATAAAAAGTACACAAATCAGTACACTACAAGGCAGAACACAGATGCCTTAAAAGAGAAAGTGACAAAGTGATATGCAGATTCATAGGATGGGAGAATCATATTCAGATGCGGAGAGAAAGGGATTAATTGAGTCAAGTCAAAAATTATTTATTAAGCACCCACTAAGTGGCAGACACTGTACAAACTGCTGGAGATACAAAGGCCTAAAACAAAGCCAAAAGCAAACAAACCAGTCCCTGATCTCAAAGAGCTCACAATCTACTTGTTTCACAAGGAAACAACTATGTACAAAGAAGATATATATATATATAATATTATATATATATAGGACAAATTGGAGACAATCAAAGAGGGAAGGTATTAAGATTAAGGTGGGCCAAGAAAGGCTTCTTGCAGAAGGTGGGACTTTAGCAGAGACTTGAAGGGGGCCAGGGAAACCAGGGTCAGAAAAGGCTTCATGAAATTTGAGGTTGACCTTGAAGGACGGATAGGATAGATGGGAATAATAGGCAGAGAGGGGATGGGGTGGATAGTCCAGGTAGAACGAAAAAGGTGAACTGGCCCACTGCTTCTACACTTAGCACCACGTAATAATTTTTTCACTTGGTAATATCTCTTATTATTTTATATTAACAAACCTTTAGGTGGCTACATAGCTAACCCAGGACACAGATGGAAAACCCAAGCTCTATGTCATGTCACTATAAATGACTGTGCACAGCTGGCACAAAGTGACTTGGGAGTAGTGCCAGAATTAGAGAGTGTTGCTGTCTATAATGCAAAGGAGATTTTATCCCCTTCCACTGTCTCTTCAGCGCATAATTTCCCTGAGCAAGCTATGGGCTACTGTCTGTGCAGCCACTGAATTAATTGGAAGCAGCTGCCTACATTGACAGCTAATTGTGGTTGCTGAGATGCAGACTCCTCACTATCCATTATCCCAGGAAAAAATGACTTACGGTGCTGAGGGAGACTCTTAGCAATTTTCTTCAATAACAGGCCAAATTCAACATAACATGAAGATATGACCTATCTGAATGGCTTTTCACAGGGATTTTACAAGGTACTGTCTTAATGGTCTTTACCTAGGCTATTATACTGGAACTGATCATCTGACTAATTAGTAATATCAGATGTAATACTCAAACTGGGTTAAGTACCTGCTTTTTGAAGCCCACTTGTAAAATGGTACAAGATGGTTAACAATAAATCAACTTAAGTGTTCTGTTGCATGAAATGGTTCTCTGGGAGGTGGGAGAAGAAAGGATAAAGGGGAAATTCAGGTGATATAAAACAAAGAAATCTCAATCAATTTTTAAAAAACAATAATCTCAGAAAAGCGCATTTTAAAATGTAAGGATTAAATTACCAAAGTTATTCTCAGTTAGATGCAAAGAGGTTATATATATACACACACACACACACACACACACACACACACATATACATATATGTATGTATTTCAAATATTTGAGTTTCTTACTAATCTCTGGGGCTAGGAATATAAATCTAACTAACCTCAGATAGGCATAAGGGAAATATCATTGGCCAATGATTCAAATAACCTGAGTTTTGGTCCTAGCTCTGCTATTAATTCTGATTCTGAACAAAACATATAACCTTTTTAGCTTCAATCTCTGCAACTATAAGATGAGGGGGTTGGATTAGATGATTTCTTAAGTCAATCTACAAACTCCATTAACTTTGCTGAAAAAATTCTCCCTTCAATCCTGATTAGGTGATTTCTACAGGAACTCCTTACCAGGAGAAATAATTTTGAACATACATATGTATGTTCTTATTTCAGTGGTCCAGTTCACTTTTTGACTATTAATTCAAACCTCCATTAACATTATCCTCCGATGGCTCTTGTTGGCATGGAGAAGACCCTGGGCTCTAGAGGACTATAAAAGTGACAGGTCCCACCCTAACAAGCGGCATGGGCTTTGAGTAAAGGACTGGCAACCGATTATACAGCCGTCATCTGAAGACCAGCAAGTGTAGGCTTGGACTTTCTTTCAGTGCCTGGGATCTTCTTACCTTGGAACATTCCTTCACCATGAGGGTCCCTTTCCTCCTTGGTGAATTCGTCTCGGGGCCTCCATTCGGAGAAGGGGCCCAGGCTGGCCTTCATTCATTTCCCTCTCCTGGCTCTGCTTCCTGACACCATGGACTTCAACACCATGCTCCCCTGTATCTTTCTCCACCAACACCAACAGTATTCTTTT